GCCAACTGCATGAGGAGAAGCCAAGACTTCAAAATGACTTCTAGATTTCTGAGGCTAAATGATCCCAGGTGACGGGAGAAAACGGGAGAAAAGGAGAAGCAGTGGGGCTGTGGCTGGGGCAGAGGCAGAGAGAGGGGTCTGTGTTTGCGTGTGTTTCTGAGGCACCTGTGGGGTATCCCAGGGGACATGTCTAGCAGACAGGTGGAAAGACGTGTGAAACTCGGAAGAGAGGTCGGGTCAGGACAAAGAAACAGTCTGGGAGTCATCAGAATATAATTCGTGGGGCTCAGCACCGTGACTCATGTATGTAATCCCAGCACTCCGGGAGGCCAAGGCAGGAGGATCGCTTGAGTTCCAGACCAGCCTGGGCAATAAAGAAAGACCCTGTCTCTACATAAAATTTAAAAAATTAGCTGGGTGTGGTGGCATGCACCTGTAGTCTCAGCTACTTGGGAGGCAGAGATGGGAGGATTGCTCGAGCCCAGGAGGTTGAGGCTGCAGTGAGCCGTGATCATGGCACTGTACTCTAGCCTGGGTGATGGAGTGAGACCGTGTCTCAAAAATTATTTTAAATAAAAAATAAAGAAAATAAGTCATCGGTACAGATGAGACTGCCACAGCAAGTGACAGGATAAAAGTGACACCTCTGCCTGCCTGCCTCCAAATCAACAAGGAAGAGGGACAGAGCTCAGTGCTATCAACTTGATTACTGCCATATGCCACCCCGTCAGGCAGACCTCAGAACAGACTGAAGTTCCACCCATTTCACACGTAATCAAAGAATGCAATGAAGGAGAAAACCACACAACCGCAACTTCAGCAAACTCACTCACTAGCCTTGCTCTGGTGCCCCAAGTTCAGTTCACAATGACTGACATAGGTGTATGACACAAATACTTCACAACATGCTTCTTTCGGGGAACCAGGAAGATAAAATAGGAATATAAGAGTCTAAGAAAAGTCACTCTGTGCTTCCAAATAGCCTGGTACATCTTTACTCCCTGTCAATGTGTGCATTTAGGAACACAAACTCCCTTTTACATCAAATAGAACTACAAAGGTTATTCTAATGCCTTGTTCTTGATCAAGAAATACATTCCAAAGCCAAACAAGAAGAAACATATTGTCCATCATTCTGTGTTATTCTATTTCCACGCCCTTATGTAACCATGGATAATTGTGCGTGAACAATATACTTCAGCACAAAGCTGGGATTGGTTCCATCTACAACACCAACTGAGACTGGCCCATGTGGTCAAAGTAAGAGATTTAAGGCAAAGGGTTGAAACATGCACTCCCTATCAGTAGACAGGGCGATCTTATTCAGGTAAAACAGGTATAGGAGGAAGAGCAGCAAGCCAGTGAGTGATAACTCAATTTGTGAAATGGAAACATTTTACTACATCAGCTACCATAATTGTATAAAGGAACCCTCCGCAAGGGTCACGCATGATCCCTTGGTATGCCCAACATCCTCACCAAGTGATTTTATCTTCCTTGCTTGATAGCTGAGAAAGCCGAGGCCCAGAGAGTGGCTAAATTCCCCCAAAGTCTCATGGTCACTTCAACCCAGGGTGCCCAAGGGCCCAGGAAGAGTTACCAGTGGAAGCAACAAAAGGTTCTGAGAAAATTCAGCAGGGATGATGGATGTCTCGGGAGTAAGGAGTTAGACAAGAAATCAGGTGGGGCAGGCACAGCAAGCAGCTTCTTCAACTCCCTTTCATTTAGACCAGAGGAAGGCCTTGACACCATGCGTAGAACAGCTCATTTCACACTGTCTGGGGCAGAAGACACTCTGGATTATCTTTCACATACTGGCAAGGTACCACCACCTGGGAGTGTTGGTGTAGACACAGATTAAACATGCTTGTCAACACTGTTATTCTGGAGCCACAGAATCAATGCAATAACTTTAAAACTGCTACTAAAAAATACCCTTTCTCAGTAGGCAAGGATTTCTCGACTAGTTACTATGCTTAGCATAATATGCTTCAGACTCATCCTGTTTATCCCAGGGTTCTTTATTAAGAGATGATTTTACCCTCCAGGGGATATAAAGCAATATCTCAAGACATTTCTGTGGTCACGAGTGGGGGATGCTACAGTTGTCTCCTCAGTAGAGGCTAGGATGCTGCTAAACATCTAGGACAACGTGTCAAACGACGCCAGACATCACAGTGTTGCTGCTGAGGAACCTTGCCATCTACCCCACCACTGAACCCAGAAGCAGGAAAGCAGAAGGCATGGAACTCACTCTTCAGCCCCTTTTCTGGTACACTAACAGGCCTTTCATATTCTGGCTTTAAAATAACGACAAAGAGCTTCCTATAGGATCAGTCGGTCTTCAACCCAATTTCATGTTCTTAAATACCAGAGGCAAAATGCTTGAGGCTGAGCAGTGAATGCAAGAGCCAGGCCACAAGGCCTCCTTTTCCCAGGGTTTCCCCTACCTGTGTCTCAGTGTTTCCTGACTCTGAAAAGGAGAGGGCAAATTCTTTGCTAAACTCTCAGGATATGAGAGAGAGTTTAACAAAGATTCCCCAAGGAAGTCTCTAAAAACAGTTATGCATGCAGCGTGTGGTATAGGTATGGATTCTCTACCAGAGCTGTGTAGCGCACAGAGTATTTACTGTGATTCTACTCCTAACCTAACGACAAAAACACTTATTTTAAAAGTACCCACGCATTTTAATAATACACAAGAGTCTAAATAAGGCTTAGAATTGGAGATAACCCAGTCTTGACTGGGAGCTCCCCAAATCCCTTTACTATTACTGCCTTTTACTGTTTAGTTCTTATTTGTTTATTTGTTTATTTTTTTGAGACAGGGTCTTGCTGGTTGTCACCCAGGCTGGAGTGCTGTGGTGTCATTACAGCTCACTGCTGCCTGCAACTCCTGGGTTCAAGCAATCCTCCCATCTTAGCCTCCCGAGAAGCTAGGACTACAGGTATGCCACCAAGCCCAGCTAACTAGGAAAATTTTTTGGGGGGTAGAGACAGGTCTTGCTATATTGCCCGGGCTGGTCTCCAACTCCTGGCCTCAAGCAATCCTCCCACTTCAGCCTTCCAAAATGCTGGGATTGCAGGCATCAGCCACTGTGTCTGGCGCTGTCTAGTTCTAATGACTAATAATCATGTTTAAAGCATTGAGAAACTCTGATCACTTACTTGTGGTTTTTGGAAACACCATTTCTTTGTCTTTAAAGAGAAAATGTGGTAACTGAAAACTCGCATTCTAATAAAGAAGTCTAAGAAACGCAGCCTAGGTAGTCAGATTTAGACTGAAGATTACGGGTTTTCTTTCTGGAAACACGTACAAGCATAGGTAGTTCAGGGTTGAGGTGAGGTAAGAGAGAACTGGTTAGCTCTCACACACCACATCTAAAGAGAAAAACGGGTTGGTGGGGGCGCCGGGAAGTGGGGCTCGGTGGACCAGCCTCACTTTGCGTCTGGCAGTTGCAGATGACCGGGTGATGGGAGAGCCAGTATTGGCAGAGTGGTCTCCCCCTAACAAACCCACCTGCTAGGCTATGGCCAGAGCATCTCACTCAGAAATCCTGGGGACAAGAAGCAAAGCCAAGTGCACGCTGGAGACAATGGGGAGAACCCATAGGCAAGGCACCCATCCCACGAGGCACAGCAGGGTGCTTCCTCCCGCCCTCGCCGTCCCCATCTCCCTGGCACCGCGCTGTCACTTTTGGCAGGAGGACAGTAACGCAGGGGGAGTCGCCCACGGGCGGGACTTGTAGCTGAACCCCAGGCCTCAGACTGCAGTTGACAAGCGACTGTGACAGGCCTCGCCGGAGCTGGGCCCTGAATCACCCTGCTCCCCGGCCGGCTGTCGGCGCTGGGGGACGGGGTCCCCGGGGTCGACTCACCGATCTGCCCGATGAACTCGATTTTGATGCCCTGGTGCTCCAGCCGCTTGTTGGGGTTCTTGAGGGCAAGGCTCACCTTCCCGGAGACAGTCTCCCCGTCGTAGAAGAGGAAATATTTCTCCTTCTTCCCGTCCTCCGTCTTGTGCTCGGCCCGCTTCCTACTCTCCGCATCGTTCAGAAGGATTTCCACCTCCACGCTCTGCCCGAAGCCGAAGAAGCTCATTGCACCGCCGGGCCGGGCGGGTCTCGGTAAGGACCGCTCCCTCGCACCGGGGCGCGGGCTGCCCTAGGTAAGGAAGGCCAGAGGGCCCTATGCGCGAGCGCGCTCGGCCGCCGCGGCGCTGCCTGGCTCTGCCGCTGCCGCCGGGCAGTGGGCGCCGACCGACAGCGGGCTCCACGGGGGAGGGGCACGGCCGGGGGAGGCAGGCGGCTGCGGGCTGCGGCGCCCGAGCAGCAATGCACCGAGGAGCAGTGCCCTGCGCCGAGCCAGTCCCAGCCAGTCCAGCAGCCGGTGGCAGTGGGCGGGCGAGGGTCGGCCGTGCAATGCTGCGGGGGGGCAGCCGCACAGGGCCGGGTATGCTTGGCCTGCGCGGGCCGGGTGGGGTCCAGCGCCGAGCAGCGCTGAGAGCTGCCCAGCCTCCGGCGGTGCAACCCACCGAGGCGCTTCGGCGGCTCCGGGCGGGGGAGGGGGCGGGCGAGCTCCAGCCCGGATGCGCTGGAGCAGGGGCGCGCATGCGCACCCCCTTTCTCCGCTCCTGGGCCTCCCGGCCTCCAGGAGGACCGCTCGCTGCGCATGCGCAGGGAGAGCGCGGCCGGCGCTCCAGCCGTCGGCATGGCAGCTGCTACTTCGCTAGGACAGGCTCTGGGCCCACGCGTGCCCGCAGTCCACAGAACTGCAGTCGTCTTCTCGGAGTGCTTTCGGCTACTTTCCCTTATTGCTTTAGCTCGATACACGTTGGGCTGCCTTTCACATTCGGCTATTACGCGGTTCCAGTGCTGTCTGACGGGAAAGGCAGCCCTTTGACACGCACGCGAAATGTCGCCTGACGAGGGCAAAGGTGACAGTTACTACCGGAAGTACCCTGTCTCGGATACCCTTTAGATTCCCCCACTGAAGAAAAACGAAGCGGGAAAAACGCTGTTAGGGTTTAACTCAGGCCCTGACTCCTTGAACGAATTAGCAGAAAAGTCTCCCGCAGGAGCCTGGTTTGGCTCCTACTTTTCGGCCCGCCCAGTTCTCTGAGCGTGCGGCGGACGACGCAGGTGATTGGTTGAGCGAATGGAAACGGCTGGGTGCGGTGATTGGCCGGTGGGAAATTCTGTACGTTGTGATTGGTCCGCAGGAACGACTCGGCGCGCGCGCGGGAGCGAGCTTTGAAAGTTGAGCACGGCGGCGGCGAGCCGGCGGCCTGGGGATCATGGTGGCGCTGCGGGGCCTTGGTAGCGGCCTGCAGCCGTGGTGTCCGCTGGATCTTAGACTCGGTGAGCAGACGCAGCCGCGAGGCCCTGGGGCCAGGGCGGGGGTCCTTTGCGTCCCTGACGACGCCTAAGCCCGGGCCGTGGTGCGGGTGGGGGCGGGGTGGGGGCGCCCGGCTGTCGGCGGTGCCTGGGGTGCCCAGGGCCGTGCCACGCCAGGATTGCGGCCAGCCAGGTTTCCCGTGGGGGTTCAAGCCGGCCAGGCCACCCTTAGAATAAGCGAATGTTGGCCAGTCTCTTCTAGCGCTTGTGCATCTGTTTCCTCGGCCTTCCCCTTCTTCCTGTGCACCTCATCGTGCACCTATCTATTCTTACCTATTCAGATGGTTTTAAATTGCAAATCTTTTTCTTCGACCAGACTTATTTCTTGAACTTCATGTTCATAGGTTCAACTGGATGTCTCACATGCAGACATCATCAAACGTCACATGAGTGAAAATGGGATTCCCAAAGCCTGCTAATGGCACCATTCAAGCCACCAACCCAGGAGTCATGGCATTTCTGCTTCCCCTTTCATGCCTGCCACCACTGTCCTGCCTCCGAGGTGTCTCAGGGCCGACCCGCTCCATTCCTGGTGCTACTGCCTTCATCATAGTTAGCCTCGAGCAATTGCAGGAGTATTTTAGCTGCTTTCTGATGTTAACTGTGCCAGCCCATCCCCCACACTTTTGCAGACCGACTTTTGAAAACACAGCTTTGAATGTGTCAAGCCTGTACACCTTTAATGTTTCCCCTTTGTTTCCTAAATAAATGACCAGATCCTTGGCATACTTTATAAGTCTTTGCCATTCTCTCCAGTTTGATTTTTCAAGAGTATAACCTTTGGAGTCAGACACACTGGGATTGCTCCCTTGGCTGTACCCCATAGCATCCATGTATTACCGTGCAAGTTACTTCTCCTTGCTAAACCCCTGTTTTCTGATTTGTCAAATGAGGAGTGCAATATCTACCCCACAGAGGTTTTTGTAAAGATAAATTTTGTACCTGCTACATAATAACTGCTGAATAGATACTAATACCCACGAGCAAACTGTGTTATAACAATTTTGTTCATTTCAAAACACTTTAATTTCTTTCCCTTTGTGCTTTGTTACACTGTGCCTGCTGGGGTGCACTTTTCTGCATTTATTTGCCTGGCAAAACTCTTTCAGGTCCAACTGAAGAATCATCTTATTCCTCTGCCTCTTCCTCCTCCTCCAGTAATATTCCCTATTAAGCTCTGTAGCATTTTACATTTTACATATCTATTATTTTAACACTCATCCATTGCAAAAAATAATAAACATCATCTATTGACTGCTTTTTATGTGGTTAGCACATTGTTAGGGCCTTTATACACATTATCTTTCACAAAAATCTTGTATTTCCAATGATGAAGGAGAGACTAATTACCTGTAAGTGATCAAGTCAGGATATTTGCCTTGTTCTGACTCAAAATTCAGTGCTCTCTTTTCTATCATAGGCTGCTTTTTTTGGTATCCTAAGTGTGAAATGTTGAGATCTTTGTGGACAAGAACCCTCTAGTATTCATCTTTGTATCCCTAGAAGTGTAAGTGGCTTCCCTAGTATTTTCTCAAAGTGTTTGTTGAGTAAATGAGAGTTTTCTCAAAGTGTTTGTTGAGTAATGAGTGATGATTTCTTCCTTTCTTCCATCCTATGAAGTGGGAAAGTTTCCCTAGTATTTTCTCAAAGTGTTTGTTGAGCAATATATATTGTAAATGAGTGATGTATTTCTTCCTTTTCTTCCATCCTAAGTGAAGTAGTAGAACAGAAGTTACCTGCATTTGACAACTGAGAAAATAGGTAGTGAGGGATTTGAATAGTGTAAAGATATTGAGGGAAAAAATCTAACTCAGTGTCTCCTGTGCTCTCATTCAGCAATCAACACTGAAGACTTCTGTGACCAAGTGGTAGATAACAGGGCCAGTTACTGCCATCCAAATTAGATTTGATGGTATTTACAGTAGGGAACGATTATAAGCAAAACCAAAAGGAGTGAGATAACTTTTGCTGTGGTCTATAATGACCTTTAAAACATTATTGGAAATTTAGAAAGATACAATTGTGTTTTTCAGATCTTCTTTCAGGCAGCATATTGCATGTCTTTGGAAGGAATGCTGTGCACAGCCACTTAGGGTACAGAGACTCCCTCCTCCAGGGTCAAGTTCAAGTGACAAAAGGTGATGAGCAGATTGTATTCTAAGGATGGATCTAGTTGAGTGTAAGGCCTTTTATTTTCATTTGCTGAGTGCGTTGTAATGCTCCCATCTCTGTTTTTTCTTTATTTATACCTTGCCCAACTTCTCTAAATCAGCGGTGAGCAAATACTTTTAATGCTAATTTGAAGGAACACCTGATTAATAATTTGAGATGTCCACATTTCCATCTAGTCCTAATTTTAGTTTGGGAAAATAACAATGAAAACACCGAAGAAATATAGTTTATTAGAAAAGAATGGGAAGGAGGAGTGGATGGATAGGGGAGGGATACCATTAGGAGAAATAACTAATGTAGATGATGGGTTGGTGGGTACAGCAAGCCACCATGGTACGTGTATACCTGTGTAACAAACCTGCATGTTGTGCACCTGTACTCAAGAACTTAAAGTATAAGTTAAAAAAAAAGTTTATCCAAAAAAAAAAAAAGAAAAGAATGGGAAGATTTAGAGTTAAGAGAGATTGATAAGGAATCCAGCCAGCATGCCATCTTAATATCCCTCCTCTCAATATACATTCTTTCAATCAGTGTATTTTAAAGTCACCAAGGATTTCTGTGAGTCTGAATCTGGCTTGCCTCCTCTATTTTAAACTTCCTGGGGAAATTATGTCTGTTTTTTTAAATGCTACATTATTGTCCAAGGGCCCAATAAAGTACTATATATTTTATTTCCACTTATTAACTTGGTTATGATATTTTCACAAAGCAACATCTTGGGCAATCTGATTAACCTCTGTTTCTTCTCTAGATTGAACAAATGGGAAAGCCTGATCACTAAATGTTTTGAAGTGTCCTTTCCCAAAACTCTTAAAAGCGTTTCCTTCTTTATATTCTTAGAAGATGATTAGCTTAATAGCCAGTGTCAGTTGTGATTTAAGATTCTCTTAACCTTTTCTGGTTTTCTTTTATTATGCTACACCTATATTATTAAAACAAGTTAAATGTGAACTGTGACTAATAAACTTTTTTCCTCTTGAACATATCTGGAATCTAAAGTGATTAGTTTTTTTACTTGTTACGGAGTACTTACAAATTTCATTGCATTTTCCCCTAGAATGGGTTGACACAGTGTGGGAACTGGATTTCACAGAGACTGAACCTTTGGATCCCAGCATAGAAGCAGAGATCATAGAGACTGGATTGGATGCATTCACAAAACTCTATGAAAGCCTTTTACCCTTTGCTACTGGAGAACATGGATCTATGGAGGTAAAAAAATAAAAACAAACTAGCAAATTTTGGTGTTAGCAGTAGAAGATGAAAGTCATTATAATCTAAAACTTAGCTTTCTTGGTGTACAATTCACAGGGAGTACAATATGAGTAACATAAAGAATGTGGTTAATGTATTGGAATATCGTAAGAACTTTCCTCCAGAAGGTTCAAGGTACTCGTCTGATTTTTTTTTTTTAAGACACAACCGTTTTTTACAATAGCAAATTTTTTTTTTTTTTTTTTTTTTGAGACGAAGTCTCGCCCTGTCACCCAGGCTGGAGTGCAGTGGCCTGATCTCAGCTCACTGCAAGCTCCGCCTCCCGGGTTTACGCCATTCTCCTGCCTCAGCCTCCCGGGTAGCTGGGACTACAGGCGCCCGCCACCTCGCCCGGCTAGTTGTTTTTTTGTATTTTTAGTAGAGACGGGGTTTCACCATGTTAGCCAGGATGGTCTCGATCTCCTGACCTCGTGATCCGCCCATCTCGGCCTCCCAAAGTGCTGGGATTACAGGCTTGAGCCACCGCGCCTGGCTACAATAGCAAATTAAAGGAAAAGTATAAGGCCAGGTGTGGTGGCTTACGTCTAATCGCAGCACTTTGAGGGGCTGAGGCTGGCCAATTGTTTGAGCTCAGGTTGAGACTAGCCTGGGCAACATGGCAAAACCCCACCTCAGAAGAAAAAAAAAGGAAAAATATAAAGGCAAAAACAAGAAAACTAGATCAAGGAAAATGCAAATAATAATTCAGACATGCCCTTAACCTTAACTTTAAGAAAATCTGCGGCCAGGCACAGTGGCTCACGCCTGTAATCCTAACACTTTGGGAGGCTGAGGCAGGTGGATCACGAGGTCAGGAATTCAAGACCAGCCTAACCAAGATGGTGAAACCCCATCTCTACTAAAAATACAAAAATTAGCCGGTAGTGGTGGCGTGCGTCTGTAATCCCAGCTACTTGGGAGGCTGAGGCAAAGAATTGCTTGAACCTAGGAGGCGGAGGTTGCAGTGAGCCAAGATCACGCCACTGCACTCCAGCCTGGACGCCAGAGCAAGACTCTGTCTCAAAAAAAAAGAAAATCTGGTATTACTAAACTGAGGAATGACTAGTTGAATTAACAGGTTTGTCCAAAAAGTTCCTGTAAATACTGAGTTATATCCAGTACATAGAAATATAAATTATTATTTAGGTTGTTAGTTTTCAAAAAAACCAAAGGGTTGGGAAACAGAACAAAAGCTAATTGGATATTAACATCTCTGAAACATTTAAATGGACAAAAAGAATTTCACTTCCAAGTTTCACATCACAAAATTAAATCATCTAATTAAACATTCCTTCAGCATAACGCTAAGCACTGCCTTAAGTACCTGAGTTGACAGTAGGGATTAAGAAACAATCTCCCTAGGTTGAAGTCCCCCCCAGGGACCTCAGGGAGGAAGAGTGGACGTTTGAACACTAACCAAATTAGGTCCAGCAGCACATGCAGCTGCAGGGGGTGGAGAGTGCAGTGCCACTGGGCATTAGGGCACCTGGAAATATTCTACGAACCACACTGTGAAAAATGCTCCAAGAGAGGTGCAGATTTGTTGCATAGGGTGTGAAAAAGGGAGCATGGTAGAGTTGGGAAGGTTCCAGAAAGAAAGTGGCCAGCAGTGAATCTTCACAGATGACTAGCAGAAGCTTGGGTTGTAAGGCAGTCCTAGTGAAGGAGCCACCCAATGGGAACACGCAGGAATTGTCAAGAGGCATACAGAAAAGGTGTGTGGTGGGATGGGACAGTAAGGTAGAGTAAGGGTAGGTCATGGGTAGCTTTACGTGAGGTTCAGCAGTGGAGTCTGAACATATTTGGTAGAGTGTGTATGAGGTTTTGTTCTAAGCTTCCTGCATGGATTAACTCATTTAATCCTCACAAGCAGCCCTGTGTGAAAGAGGTTACAGTGAGCAATAGATAGGTAACATGAATAGATCTGTTTTAAGCAGATGTTCTTGACAGTAGGTGGACTGAAGTGGGAAAAAATTGTGTGCAGGGAGAGCCCTTGGGAGACTGTATTGGTGATCCAGGTGTTAGTAGTAGTAATGGCATGGTCCAGAGTTACGATTTTGGGAACTGGAAAAGAAGACTAAAAACTAGGGACATTTTGGAGGTAGAATTAATAGGGCCTTGTCAACTAGGAAGCCTTTGTAAGATATCTTAAAGACATGGTGTGAAGTGCTAAACTGACTGGGCATAGGGAGTTACAAAAAGAAAGAAGTCAGTGATCCCCAGGGTTTCAAAACTAGGAAGATGATGACACTGTTAACCAAGGTGGGGAATGAGGGAAAAAGAGCAAGGTCAGATGGAGAAACAGTTCTGTTTAGACTTCTGAACTTGAGATTCTGTGAGGAGATCCTTGGGAAGTTAAACAGGTAGTAGAAATGTGAGACCAGGAGAGAGAGGAGAGTTCTTTAATGGAGGTATGGGTTGAGGCACAGTGATGCATGAGATCACCGAGGGGGAGCAGAAGGCAGGACAGAAATGGAGAGCTGATTGGAAGGGGTCTGCGGAGGAGCAGTCAAGTGTAGGGAGTGCAGGGCCACTGACGCCCAGACTAGACAGCAGCCGTGGGATCACATGAGGCCAAGGTGACCCCATACACAGAGCTCTGGCGAGCAGAGGGTTTCGGGTCGTGGATCAGCCTGGTGAGTGAAGTGGAGGTGCAGGTGGCATTAGGAATGAGGACGTGAAGGCAGGAGATGATTTCTCTTTTCCTTTTTTTTTTTTTTTTTGAAACCAGGGTCTTGCTGTGTCACCCAGGCTGGAATGCAGTGGCACAGTTACAGCTTACTGCAGCCTCAACTTATTGGGCTCAAACAAGCCTCCCACCTCACCCTCCTGAGTAGCTGGGACTACAGGTGTGTGCCACCATGCCCAGCTAATTTTTTATTTTTTGTGGATACAAGGTCTTTCTTTGTTGCCCTGGCTGGTCTCAAACTCCTGGGCTCAAGCAATCCTCCTACCCTGGCCTCTCAAAGTGCTGGGATTACAGGCATGAGCCATTGTGCCCCGTGGAGATGATTTCTCCCACAGGTTTTTTAGTTAAGGAAAAGAGAGTGCTCTGCTCACATGAATTTTGTGGGCCTTTTTTTGTTATGGTACTCAAGGATAAACCATATTTAGTTCCTATGTTTAGGTTATTAAAATAACCCATTTCTTCTTCATGTGTTTAGTAGAAGACATGGAATGATGATAGAATTAGTAAAATTGTAGTTTCTTTCCTAGGGTGTATCTCCTTTACCTGGGCTATTTCCGAGATCTCTTTCATTTCCTGCTCCCATTGCCTGCAATATGTGGAACATTTAAATTTAAATAAAAGGCTCTGATTTCCTCAGTTAGTGATTATTGGTAAACGGATTTGAGTTCCTTTTAATATAGAGGGATTAACTTTTCTGAATAATCACTAATATATGGTGTCCCAAAAGTGTTAGTGTAGTTTTAAACTGTAATTTCTGAAGTATATATGCTACAAACTTAACCAAAAATTCTTTTGAAAGTTTAATTATTTAAATTTTTTTTTTTTTTTTTTTTTTTTTTGAGACGGAGTCTCGCTCTCTCGCCCAGGCTGGAGTGCAGTGGCGCAATCTCGGCTCACTGCAAGCTCCGCCTCCCGGGTTTACGCCATTCTCCTGCCTCAGCCTCCCGAGTAGCTGGGACTACAGGCGCCGCCACTGCGCCCGGCTAATTTTTTCTATTTTTAGTAGAGACGGGGTTTCACCATGATCTCGATCTCCTGACCTTGTGATCCGCCCGCCTCGGCCTCCCAAAGTGCTGGGATTACAGGCGTGAGCCACCGCACCCGGCCTATTATTTAAATATGTTATATGCATATTTATCTTTGTAATTTTGGATAATATATTTTTAATTTTGATATTTTGTTTCAGTCCCTTTGAAGATGGTAAACATTTAGCAATAGGAACCAGGCTAGTCTATTCCTCTTTTTGTAAGGCACCAAGAACTTACAAAAATCAAGTAATTGATGTTTCCATTTCTCTGATGACTGGCTCTTGTGATTTGCCCTCTCCCCACAGAGTGTCTGGACCTTCTTCATTGAGAACAACGTTTCCCATAGTACACTGGTGGCATTGTTCTATCATTTTGTTCAAATAGTTCATAAGACGAATGTCAGTGTACGGTATCGAGAATATGGCCTTCACGCCGCTGGGCTTTACTTTTTGCTGCTAGAAGTACCAGGTATGTAGACCCGATATGATAGGATAAATCTTCTGTCACTGTTTTCTTTCTACAGTTTTCAATTCTTACACTTTGTTTATTGTTTCTTCACTTATAAATGGGGCAGTGCTAACCCATGGCAGAGAGTTGTTCTGAGGAGCAAGTCTGTAAAGTACATGGCATGTTGTAGGTCTTTGAAAAACCTTCCCCCTTTTTTTTTTACATCCAAAATTGTTATTTATAAACGAATAAAAATAATCTGAGGAGCACCGCGAGAGCTCCGCGCCCGCCCGCCGCCTGCCATCGCCGTCTACAGTTCTGATACTGCCCTTTCTCCTCATGATTCCTTGTCTAGACTGAGAAATACTGCTGTGAGGAGTCATTGTTTTTACCTCTCCGATGTTGGTGTTGAAAAATAGGTTAGGCCGGGCGCGGTGGCTCAAGCCTGTAATCCCAGCACTTTGGGAGGCCGAGACATGCGGATCACGAGGTCAGGAGATCGAGACCATCCTGGCTAACACGGTGAAACCCCGTCTCTACTAAAAATACAAAAAACTAGCCGGGCGATGTGGCGGCGCCTGTAGTCCCAGCTACTCGGGAGGCTGAGGCCGGAGAATGGCGTGAACCCGGGAGGCGGAGCTTGCAGTGAGCCGAGTTCGTGCCACCGCACTCCAGCCTGGGCGGCAGAGCAAGACTCTGTCTCAAAAAAAAAGAAAAAAAAAAAGAAAAAAGAAAAATAGGTTAAAACCATTCTAATCAAGACGGCAGGAAAGCAGCTAGTAATACGTGAAGGAGGGCACTGACCAGGAGTCTGTTTTCGAGCACCGTTTTACTTTATTGTCAGAGCACTGAGGAGGCCTTTCCTCCTATGACGGTGAAATCCATTCTCTTCCCTACTCCAAACCCAAGGTGAGAGAGAGTGGAACGTAGAGATTGAGTTGAATAACCCGAAGTTTATATGGAAAAGAAAATGACAAGATCAGCCACCTTGCTGCTTCTCTTTGTTTGTATTAGCATTTGTAATTAATGCTCAGGGTGTATTCCATATGATCTGGGAATGGGCAAAAAGGTGTTATATTTAAAGCCTTAAACATTGGTTTGTGTTATTGTTAATGCTCCCATAATGACTTTGGAAATGAGTAAGTTCCTAAAGGATTTTGTTGCTAAGCAGTGTCTCAGTTGTAACCAGGCCCTTTCTCAAAAAAGTAGTGTTTTAGAAACCCAGTTTCACTCTCACCTTGCCAGATGCAGTTTCTTCTGATTAAGATTGAGATTTATGCCAGAGCGAAGAGGTGGCTGTTACTAATTGTGTGGGCCACTTGCAGCTTTCCAGCAAGCCGTATTCTTGCAGTTCTGTTTTTAAATGTTTTGGGTTTATGATTGAGATGCTGTCAATACTTAATATTCGATCACAGTATATTCTTCTTTTTCAAGATCATTTTGGTTGTTCTGCCTCCCTTGCATTTCCATGTGAATTTTAGGATCTGCATGTGAATTTTTGCAACAACAAAAAAGCCAGCTGCGGTTTTGACAGGGATTGCGTTGAAACTGTGGATGAGTTTGTGAAGTATTACCAATTTAACAATGTTAGGTCTTCTAATCTCTGGCTGTAGGATGTCTTTCCATTTATTGTAGATCTTCTTTAATTTGTTTCAATAATGCTCTGTAATTTTCGGGGCGCAACTCTTGCATCTCCTCTTTAAAATTTATTCTTAAGTATTATTTTCAGTGCTAGTGTAAATGAAATTGTTCTCTTAATTTTATTTTGGATTGTTTTATTAGTAGCGTGTAGAAGCAAAATTGATTTTGATATCTTGTATCCTAGAACCTTGCGAAACTCATCTGTTGGTTCCAACAGGGTTTTCTTTGTGTAAGATCACGTCATCCGTGAATAGACACAGGTTTACTTCTTTCTTTCTAGTCTGGGTTCTTTCTATTTATTTTTCTTACTTATTTGCCCTGCCTAGAACCTCCAGTACAATGTTGAATAGAAGGGGAGCGTGGGGATCCTTGTCTCTTCCTGATCTTAAGGGGAAAGCATCCAGTCTTGCCTTTAGATATGATGTTATCTGTGGGTTTCTCAGGATGGCCTTTGTTAAGTTATTATTCCTGTTTTACTGAGTGTTTCATTATGAAAGGCTGTTGGATTTTGTCATTTGCTTTTCTGCACTTGTGAAGTGATCATGTGGTTTTTTTTTTTATTCTAATATAGTATATTACATTGATTGATTTTCACATATTAAACCAATTTTGTATGACCTTGGTCACGATGTTTATATGTTGTCAGAGTGTTTGCTAATATTTTGTTGAAGGTTTTTCTGTCTGTATTTATAAGGGATATTCTTTTTTTGATATATTTTTGTCTGGTTTGGGAATCGGTATCTTGGTAATACCATTCTCATAGAATAAGTTACATAGTATTCTCTTCTCTTCTGTATTTTGGCAGATTTTGAGTTTTCTTTTTTCCTCAGATGTTTGGTAGAACCCACTAGTGAAGTCATCTGGGCCTGGAGTTTTTTGAAAGAGGTTTATGTTTGTCGAATTTCTGGTGATCTCCTCTCATGCCTGATGTTGGTGATTTGTATTTTATTTTTTCTTGATCAATCTAGATCGAGATTTATTCATTTTACTGTTCACTTTGGAGAACCCCCTTTTGATGTCATTAATTGAATTCTGTTGTTTGTCCCTTTCTTGTTTCATTGGTTTCTGGTCTTATGGCTATGATTTCCTTTCTTCTTACTTTGGGTTTAATTTGCTCTTATTCTGACTTTTTAAGGTAGATGCTTAGATCTTTGTTCTCACGTACATTTCTTTGTTTCTCATACAAGCATTTAATACTATAAATGTCCCTCTAAGTACAGTTTCATCTGCATCCCACAAATTTTGATGATATGTTTTTACTGCTGTGCAGGTCAAAATGATTTTGTAATTTTTCTTGTCATTTCTTACATCTCTGAGTTGTTTAGTAAATTGAGTTTATTTTCCAAATATTTGAACTTTACTGAAATCTTACCGTAATTGATTTTTAATTGGTGGGATCAGAGAATATTATATGATTATGATACTTTTAAATTATTTATTTGTGCCTTTTTTTTTTTAATGGACCTAGAGTCTAATTTGGTGAATCTTCTTTTTGCACTTTTAACAGAATGCATACCTTGCCTTTGTTGGATCTAGTATTCTGTAAATGTCAGGTCTAGTATTCTGTAAATGTTAGTTGGTTGCAAGTGTTATTCAAGGGTTATATATGCTTCCTGATGTTCTGCTTATTTGTTCTATCTGTTATTGAGAGAGGAATGTTGGAATCTCTAAGAATAATTATCAGTTTATCTATTTCTCCTCTCAATTCTTTTAACTTAAGATATTGTGAAAGTCTGACAGATATGGATGTATTTATGATTGTCATGTCTTCCTGATAGATTGGTCCTTTTAGTATTATGTTATATCCTTGTTTGTCTGGTTGTATTCCTTGTCTTGAAGTCTAGTTTGTCTAATATTAAGATAGCCACTATAGTGATATTAAGATTTATCCTTGGTTGGTACATCATTTCTCGTGCTTTTATTTGTAACCTATCCATATGTTTATATTTAAAGGTTTTCTTGTAGACTGCCTGTCATGTGGTCATGGTTTTTCTTTTTCTTTCTTTCATTTTTTTTTTTTTTAAGAGACGGGGCAACACACGGTGGCTCACACCTGTAATCCCACACTTTGGGAGGCCGAGGCGGGCGGATCACTTGAGGTCAGGCAGGCATTTAAGACCAGCCTGGCCAACATGGTGAAATCTCAGCTCATTTGGTCATGCTTCTTTCTGACAATGTTTGCTTTTATATCAGAATGTTTAAATTGTTTAGCTGATTACATTTAGAGTAATTGTCAATATAGTTGGGTTTCTGCCATTTTTCTATTTATTTTCTATTTTTTTAAATCTGTTTTTGGCTCAATTTTTTCCTCTGCCTAGTTTTGGAATTTAGTATCCCTTGTCTCTTTTTGGTGTATTAGCTATACTCTTGCATGTGTGCGTATGTTTTGTGTGCTTGCTTTGTGTATGCAGTAGGCACTTCTCACATTTTATCTTCAGATAATATTCTCCCAATTTATATATGATGTAAGAACAACCTTAAAACAGTGTATTTTCCTAGGTTGGGCGAGGTGGCTCATGCCTGTAATCCCAGCACTTTGGGAGGCTGCTGTGGGCAGATTGCTTGATGTCAGGAGTTCTAGACCAACCTGGCCAACGTGGTGAAACCCATCTCTACAAAAAAAGAGAAAAAAAAATACAACAATTAGCCCAACGTGGTAACGTGTGTTACTTAGGAGGCTGAGGCAGGAGAACCGCTTGAACCTGGGTGGTAGAGGTTGCAGTGAGCTGAGATCCACACCACTGCACTCCAGCCTGGGCAGCAGAGCGAGACTCCATTACACACACATGCACACACACAACAACCACCAAAACAAAGCATATTTTCCTTTCTCCTCTCCTGTTCTTTGTATGTTATTTTTTCTACATATTATAAAGCCTGCATTTCATTAATACTTCTTTAACTGTCTTTTATGGAATTTTTTAGAAACAAGATAAACAGCTTTTATATTTGAAAGATTAATCTCATATAATTTTCCTTCAGCCTGAAGAACTGTTTATTTTTAAACATTTCTTTTAGTGCAGGTCTGCAAGCCATAAACCCTATCAGATTTTGATTGTATTTATTTCACCTTCAAGAATCTTTTTGCTGAATATAAAATTCTGAGTTAACTTTGTTTTGCTTTTTGGTTGGATTATCTATGCTTTGTTGTGATTTCCTCTGTGCTTATTGCGATTGAGTTCATTGAGTTTCTTGGATCTGTGGACTTAATAGTTTCAACAAACTTGGAAATTTTTCAGTGACTCTTTCTTCAAATGTCTTCCTTCCCCTTTTTTGGGACTTCAGCGACTCCTGTGTTAGACTGCATGATGTTCTCCCGTGGGTCACTGAGTCTTTGTTAGCTTTTTGGTTTCTATGCTCCTGCTGTATCTTCAAGTTCACTTACCTTTGTGTCAGTAATAACCAAGCCACGATTAAGCCCATCTAGTGAATGTTTCTTTTTCAGATCAAGAAACTTCTATTTGCTTCTTTAAATTTTTTTTTTTTTTTCATTTCTCATGATAATGTTTTAATTATTGAGCTGCTTTAAGGTTGTTATCAGCTGGTTTCATTATCTCTGTCATTTCCTGGGCTGCTTTTATTGACTGATTTTTCCTATGGGGCACATTTTCCTGCTTCTTAGCATTCCCCATAATTTTTTTACCAGATGCTGGACATTTGTTGTTTTTTTACCCCCTGTATTTTTTGTAAAGACAGGGTTTTGCTGTGTTGCCCAGACTGCTCTCAAACTCCTGGGCTCAAGTGATCCACCCACCTCAGCCTCCCAAAGTGTTGGGATTACAGGCGTGAGCCACTGCCCTCAGCCAAGATGTTGGGCATTTGGAATGTTGTTGAGTGTCTGGATTTTGTTGTTTTCCTTTAAATACTATTGAAGTATGTTTTGATAGGCAGCTATTGGTGGATTAACTGGATCCTTTTGAGGCTTGTTTTAAAGCTTTATTAGGGCAGATATAAAGTAGCCTTTACACTACATCTGGTTTAGCCCTACTGTTAAGGTGTGTTTGTTCTGAGGTCTCTACTGAATGCTCTAGGTGCTTAACAAGGTCACTCCACTCTGGCTGGCCACAACTCAAATGTATCTGAGCCTTGTGTGAGTTGTGAAAATAATTCATCTTCTTGCTCCTTGGAAATACTTCTTTGCTCTCTGTCTTAGAATTTTACCCTGTGCATGCATAGCTTATGTTCAGCCCTGGGCAGATTCTTAGAACTCTTTCTGTGTAAGTTCTTCTGTTCTATAAATTCCATCTACCCTGTGTTTCTGACTCTGCTTTTTCAACATAGTAAGACGATTATAACTTGTGTGGATTTACCATTTATCGGCTGTTGTCCGGAAATTGCCTCTGGATACAATACTGGGGCAACTTTAGGGTTTACCTCTTTGTTTCCCTTTTTTCAGAGATTGCCCTTCTTATGCTGCCTCGTGTCCAGTGTCTTAAAATGGTTATTTTATAAATTGTTGCCCAGTTTTCTAGTTGTTAACAAGTGTAAAGCCAATTACTCTGTCCTGACCAGATGCGGAAATCTTGTTATTTATCTCTGATGCAGCGCTGTTGCTCCTCTACTAAGGCTGACGTTGGAAATGGTACTCTTGCTACAGGTTCATTGTTATTCACAGTCATGAAAAGCCTGTGTTTTGCTTTGTAACTTTTCGTCTGTTGTTGTAGACATTTCAAGACAATTAAATCTAACCTGCTTACTCTTTATTCTTTATGAATAGGCAGTGTAGCCAATCAAGTATTCCACCCAGTGATGTTTGACAAATGCATTCAGACTCTAAAGAAGAGCTGGCCTCAGGAATCTAACTTGAATCGGAAAAGAAAGAAAGAACAGCCTAGGAGCTCTCAGGCTAATCCCGGCAGGCATAGAAAAAGGGGAAAGCCTCCCAGGAAAGAAGATATTGAGGTAAGAAGTAAGTTGAGTAATAAAACATATATACCAACACACGATTTGGCTTATTTAAGGATTGACTTTATAGTAAATATGGTTTCAGGCATCATGATAACAGGCAGATAGTCCTAAACCATCATAAGCTATCCAATACTGCTTTGTCTCTTGGGATTCATATAATTTTTCTTTCTTTCTTTCTTTTTTTTTTCTTTTTCTTTTTGAGACAGAGTCTTGCTGTGTCACCCAGGTTGGAGTGCAGTGGTGCAGTCTCAGCTCACTGCAACCTCCGCTTCACGGGTTCAAGTGATTCTCCTGCTGCAGCCTCCCAAGTAGCTAGGGCTACAGGTGTGTGCCACCACACCCAGCCAATTTTTGCATTTTTTTTTTTTTGAGAGATGGGGTTTCACCATGTTGGCCAGGCTGGTCTCGAACTCCTGGCCTCAAGTGATCTGCTCACCTTGGCCTCCCGCTGGGGTTACAGGCATGAGCCACAACACCCAGCCTGATTCCATATTCTTATGCGACACTGTAGGATGATGGAAGTTCATAGACAGCAGAAATTCTGAAAAATAGGATTCCTCATTGACACAAAACTAGAAACTACTCTAGCGGTCATCTAGTCCAGTGATTTACTGTTGTGGCCAAGGAGACCTAGGACAGTCATGCCACCTGGTCAAAGTCATGTCACCTCAACGTCAGCTCCTGCCTGGAGTTTATCTGGACTTGGTTTGGGTAAATTGAAAACCATGGGACAAAGTGTTTGGCATTTATTACAGTCACCTGTACGTTTCTTCATCATCTAGATGGATGAAATTATAGAAGAACAAGAAGATGAGAACATTTGTTTTTCTGCCCAGGACCTTTCTCAAATTCGAAGTGCCATCTTTCACCTTTTAAAGAATTTTTTAAGGCTTCTGCCAAAGTTTTCCTTGAAAGAAAAGCCACAATGTGTACAGAATTGTATAGAGGTAAGTGAAAATTCCAGGAACCTTAGGGCAACTTCAAAGGATATAGACTATGGCTAATAATGAGCAGAAAAAATCAGGCCTTTTCTTCATATCTGTTTTCTAGGTCTTTGTTTCATTAACTAATTTTGAGCCAGTTCTTCATGAATATCATGTTACACAAGCCAGGTGAGCCATTAAATCTTCCAGTGCTACAATTTAAGTATAGTATACTAATTTTTGCTCCAGCAGAAATGGAAACGCCATTTTATCCTGATTGGCACACAGGTATAATTTATTCATTTAAACATGGCTTGTAGGACTAAGACATATTCCAAGTAAAATCATTTCCATTAACGAAGATTTTGTCTTTTTTCTTTAGAGACCTTAACCAAGCAAAATACATACCAGAACTGGCTTATTATGGATTGTATTTGCTGTGCTCTCCCATTCATGGAGAAGGAGATAAGGTAAAGGAGATGAGAACCTAATTTGGTTACTAGTTGAATCGAAGGCACACCAATCATATGATGGAAATATATTAAAAGCATTTGATATAATGCCATTTCAATTTACTAGCTCTTTTTCATGACATATTATTTGCATAATAAAAAAGTATCACTATTTCTATTTGCTCTCTGTTCTTTATTGCCAAGTTTATATCAGAATACTTGGTGGCTGCAGCAAATTATTGTTAGGCTCCAGTTAGAAAAAATGGTTCTGCTGTGAATAAAATAGGAGGAACAGATAAGCTACTGAACAGTTACTTCTATAGGAATATTTCCCAAATCATTTTGAAAAGTGGAATAGTCAGAATTTTCCAGTTTCCCTTGGCAATTCATGTGTGCTTCAGTATTTCTATTAGTAGTTGTATTATTTTTGTGGATATTCTACAGAAATTTTGTAGGTTGTCATCCCTGGTTAGCATTGATAACTGGGTTTTGCCTCAAGTTACCTCAATATTATCACTACTGTAAACTTTGGAGTTAGAGTTAGGTGTGCATTATGGTGTTACTAAACTTAGACGTCTTAAATAAAACAATAAGATTTTGCAAAAAATGTGGTGGACCGAGGTCAGGTGGCTTTTGGTATCTGTGACACAGTTAACTTGCAGAGGCGATAACGTGGTTCAGAAGATGTTTTGGGGGAGACTTGGGCCTCTGCCTGTCTGTGTTGAATTCTGACTCCACCACTTACTAGCTGGGGGTCCTGGAATGAGTCGTTCAACCTTGCTAAAGTGTCAGATTTCACTTCTGGACAAAAAGTACCAAAGTCTTACCTTCCTTATAGATTTGTCACAGAATTAAATGAAGTTGAGCGTGTCACATGCCAAGCACAATGCCTGTTGTTTAGAAACATTTGGTGTTCTATAAGTTTTATGTCTTTATCACTTCTGTGTGCTTGAAATATGAATGTGGTAACATTTGTAGTAATGTTTTTAATTCCCATGCCCTTTTAAATATTTTAAACAATAAAATAGATGGGAAAATTCATCCCTTTAGGTCTACCGTGTCTCTAAAGATGTTTTTTTTTTTTTTTTTTTGGGACGTAGTCTCGCTCTGTCGCCAGGCTGGAGTGCAGTGGCATGGCCTCGGCTCACTGGAGCCTCTGCCTCCTGGGTGCGCACCACCACGCCCAGCTAATTTTTGTGTTTTTAGAGACGGGGTTTCACCATGTTGGCCAGGATGGTCTTGATCTCTTGACCTCGTGATCCACCCACCTCAGTTTCCCAAAGTGCTGGAATTACAGGCATGAGCCACCATGCCCAGCCAGTATTTGTTTTTTAATTGTGAAAGTATTGACTTGATGTCAGGCAGTCTTGGTTTTAGCCTTATCTTTAATTATTTGATCTTGGACAGCTCACCTTTGGAGCTTTTTTAAATTATCTGTGAAGTAGAAATTATACATGTCCTGCTTACCTCATGGAATTGTTGTAAGGTTTAAAATTAAATGTATATTTCATATATATATATATATAGTAAAATCTAGCTATGTAGGTGAAAGTGCTTAATGCAATACCTACCACTTACTTGGTTTTCAGTAAATGTTTTATTTATTGGATGGATAAATTAATTAGTGACTGTGTTACATGAGATGATATGTTGGAAGGTGCTTTGTAAACTGGAGGCAAAAAGCAGCTGTAAAGTATCAATTCTTTTCCCTTTTAAATAGAGGAACATTAGTAGCATTCTTTGCCATTTGTAAATGACAGTTAATTCCCTATTTGTCCTAAATTCTGGGTTATGATATGCAGTGGGTGGGGAGAGAGACTAGGTATTGTTTTTATCAGGCGTATTATCTGTCAGCCATTCTTTCACACTGTTTACATTGTGCATTTATTGTATACCTGCTCATTGTTTAAGAAATATATCCCCAGTGTGCAGCCAGCAATTATGCCAACCTGACCTACCTTCAGATGGCTTGAAATGGTTTACTACAGTCTGCATCACTATGTTTGGGACCCTTGCGTTCTCTATCCGATCTTAAATTGAATTTTCTTTTCTATTCTAGGTTATCAGTTGTGTTTTCCATCAAATGCTCAGTGTAATATTAATGTTAGAAGTTGGTGAAGGATCCCATCGTGCCCCCCTTGCTATTACCTCCCAAGTCATCAATTGTAGAAACCAGGCGGTCCAGTTTATCAGGTGAAGCACACAAATTGTGAATTTTTGCCCTGTCAGTCTCCCTCAGTACTCTGGGCCCTGCACTGAGATTTCTGATACATGTAGAGTTAAAATTTCCGGCCTGATGGTGGTTTTGGGGGTGAAAACCAAGCACTTCGTAGCTAATGTGCTTTATGTGTCTGGGTCTCTGTTGGTAGGCTCCTAGCTGGGACACTGTTAGATAGGAATCTGCAGAGCACCGGCCGGAGCCAGCCTCCAGCTTGTTTGCACTCAATCTGTGGGTCAGCTTCAGAGAGAGGATAGTGGCCTCTCCTCCTTTCCCTTGTCTGCTTTACTGCAGCCAGTCCGCCTCTTTCCCTTTTCTGTTGCTCTCTGTGTTGTAGCTCTTTGCTTTTGTTCTTTGCCACTTTTTTCTTGTTTCTTTGCACTTTTCTGTTCCTTTCCCCCTATAAAAATGACTTGAAGGAAAGGGTTGAGTTGCTTCTTACCTCCATAGCAATAATCATTAGACTGCTTTTCCCCTCTTGGATCACTCAGCTTCACTTAAAAACTCTCATGCCTTAGTTTCATTGGCAAGGACATGTTTGCTGTGTCATTGGCTTTTCTTTCCCTCCTTCACTAATTTTTGGCGTGCAGCATGGAGGTGGTGCCAAGACGTACATATGTGCAAGTGTGTGCATCCTTAGGTGTGCACAGCATGCAGTTTAGTTGGAGACATGGGGTGTGGATGATGTCATCTTGTGACTGAGCAAATGTCTCTCACTAAGGACTTTTTAAAACGTTAAGTAACTAAAATGTTTTAAGTGAAAACACTGTCATTTTGTTTTTTCCACGAGAGTTTCTCATACACCAGTCTCAATAGTCTTCATGTAATGTTACAGATAAACATCACTAAAAGTGGATCAAGTCTGGGCATTGTAGAAATTTCTTCTTGAGGCCGGGGGCGGTGGCTCATGCCTGTAATCCTGGCACTTTGGGAGGCCAAGGCAGGCGGATCACCTGAGGTCAGGAGTTGAAGACCAGCCTGGCCAACATGGTGAAACCCTGTTGATATACAGAAACCGGGTGTGGTGGCAGGCACCTATAATCCCGGCTACCTAGGAGGCTGAGGCAGGAGAAACTCTTGAACCCGGGGGGCGGAAGTTGCAGTGATCCAAGATCACACCATTGCGCTGCAGCCTGGGCAACGAGGAAAACTCCATCTCCAAAAAAAAGAACTTTCTTCTTGGGTTAAAGTTTGGAGAAGCAGTGTTACTAATGCATTTCACTGAGCAACCATGAGGTGGCACTGTGTCTTAGTCAGTTTTTATATTTATCCCAAAAGGATATGTTTTACATCTTAATACGAAATTTAGTAAGTAGTCAAAAGAATTGTATGAAGATTGCATTTTTGTTCTTTCCTGATGACTTAGCTGCTCTGCAGCAGCTCTCAAAACTGCACGGGAACTACTTCACAGTTTTCTACGATGCCATTTTATGTCTTCACTCTTTATTCTACTGAAACCACTCTTATAGTGTGAGAGTAGAGTGTTTTAATAACTGGGATTTCTAAATATAGGAGTAGTGGTTTTTGAGGACAGTCATTGACTGTATTGTGAACAGTAGATGTGTTTTTCTTTTAAAAAGCTCCCTTGTGGATGAGTTAAAGGAGAGTATATTCCCAGTCCTCCGTATCTTACTGCAGCACATCTGTGCCAAGGTACCGTTTGCCTTAGTAATATTAATAACATAGAAGTATATCATGTGTGAAGATAAATGTGTGTGTGTGTGTGTGTGTGTGTGTGTATTCTTGGGAATGAGTCTGCATTGTTACTTAAAGTGGTTTTATTTAATGTTCACTAGATGGTCCTCTAGACAAAAGTGTTCTATTAAAAAAAAAAACTTTATTTTGGAAAAATATTGAACATACACACAGAAACAGGGAGAATAGGATGGTGAACCACCACATACCCATCAACGCCTTCCACAGTTTTGTGTCACTTAAACCCCTACCCCACATCCCCCAACATGTGTATACTGGATTGTGTTTTGAAGCAAATTCCATCATATCCTTTCACAGTAATTCCTTAATATTATCAAACATCCAGTGTTCAAATTTCCATGATGAGCTCTTACATTTTTATAACCATTTAGACAAACCATTCTTAATTTGAACCTTATGAAACCTGGGGATCTAAAAACTCTCTGAAATTGTATACTAAATTTGTGTGTGTGTTTTTCTGGAGAGATGGTTTATAGATTAGAGTAGTTTTCAAGGGATCTCAAACCTAAAATTTATTAGTCATTTACCTAGCATTTAAAGATCATTGAACTAGTTACACTCACTGATTTTCAATTTGTTTTACAAAATATGTTTAAGCCATCCTGCAGGTGGATATTGGTTGGTCAACTTCTGTTTTTGCTTCTCAGGTGGTAGATAAATCAGAGTATCGTACTTTTGCAGCCCAGTCCCTAGTCCAGCTGCTCAGTAAACTTCCTTGTGGGGAGTACGCTATGTTCATTGCCTGGCTTTACAAATACTCCCGAAGTTCCAAGGTAGGAGATAGCTCTGCATAAAACCTTGGGTCCTTTTTAAACTCTGTTTAAAAGGGTCTCTTTTTCTAGGTCTGAATGAGGAGGGTTCTTTGGTTCTTACTCCTATCTGATGGCAATTCTTATGATCTTGCTTTACCAGATCCCACACCGGGTTTTTACTCTTGATGTTGTCTTAGCTCTGTTAGAACTGCCTGAAAGAGAGGTGGATAACACCCTCTCCTTGGAGCATCAGAAGTTCTTAAAGCATAAGTTCTTGGTGCAGGAAATTATGTTTGATCGTTGCTTAGACAAGGCGCCTACTGTCCGCAGCAAGGCACTGTCCAGCTTTGCACACTGTCTGGAGCTGACTGTTACCAATGCATCGGAGAGTATTCTGGAGCTCCTGATGAACAGTGAGTATGGTGACTGCTGAGACAGGAAACTAGTCTTGTGCTCATTGAGAAATAGACTGCAAGGGAATCGTTCTTTTCTTTGGCAAAAGTAACAAGTATGGTATGATCTGTTGTTACCCTTAAAACCATTTTTAGTATATTTTAGTGTCAACTTTTTAAATAGGCGAGCTTGATACATTTGCAAGGCCTTTTAAAAGGCTACCTTTACTGTTGCTTTGCATAGGTGGGCATTGGTCCTGTTAGGATGAATCTCCATTTCAATGCATACCCAAGGAGAACATTACCAGTTGTCAGCAATTTAGAATCTATTTGCCTTGTCTTTGAGCCTAATTATCTTGATTTTGGTTCCTCTGTGGATATTTACTCAGTTTGTGATACTGACTTTCTTCCTTATCTTCTTGTTTTTAGGTCCTACATTTTCAGGAATAGAGAGTCACTCTGGTACCTTACTGAGAAATTCATCAGGTAATGGATCAATACGTTTTCAAATATTGAATGATTATCTTTCAAAAATTTGTGGAATATTTAAAATGTTTCTCTTACCTCCTTATTTACCTTCTTTAACATTGTGCTTTTTTCATCAGAGAAGTTGAAATTCGTTTCAGTAATAATGTTGTAACTTAAATGAGTAACGTGCCCTGCTAATGTTATTAAAAGTATAACACATTTTTAGCTTAATGACTGTACTTTTTTTTTTTTTTAAAAAGCTCTTTTCTACCAAAGGCAGACATCTAACCATTCCGAACCCTCAGGGGAGATCAACATCGACTGCAGTGGTGAAACAGTTGGATCTGGAGGTATGTCAGATTTTATCTCTGTCAGGTAATGCTGCTGGATTTCAGACAACCGTAAACAGAGTCTAAAACCTTGGTTTTTTGTTTTTGTTTGTTTTCTGATTTATTCACCCTAAGAGTTGAAACATCTGGCGGGGCGTGGTGACTCATGCCTGCAATCCCATAATCCCAGCACTTTGGGAGGCGGAGGCCGGCAGATCACTTGAGCCCAGGAGTTCAAGACCAGCCTGGGCAACATGGCAAGACCCCATCTCTTAAAAAAATATATAAAAATTAGCTGGGCATAGTGGTGTGCACCTGTGGTCCCAGCCACTCAGGAGGCTGAGGTGGGAGGATGACTTGAGCCCAGGAGTTCCAGGCTACGGTGAGCTGTGATCATACCACTGTACTCCAGCCTGGGTGACAGTCTGTTTAAAAACTAAAAAATAAAAATAACACTGTAGGGTAGTCTGCTTTTTTGTACCAAAACTCAGTTACTAAATAGCTGCATGATCTAGGGTATGCCTGTCGTTTTCCAGTTGTAACACCCTCCCATCTTTCCCAGACGACTGTTGGGGGAGTCTGTAGAAACAACATTTAGGAAAGTGATTTAAAGAGAGAGAGAGACAGATAAGAGACAGAAAGAGCGTGTACGTAGAGGATTAATTACATAATGAGGTTTATTAATTTATTCAATAAACATTGATCTGGTCATTCCCAAAGCGTTCCAGGCATTGGAGATGCACAAGTCTGTGAGACAGAGCTCCATCTCTTAAGAAGCAGGGGAGAGACAGGTGCTTGTGCACAGAAATGTTCTCATATATACACTTGTACACACACATATGTGGAACACTGAGATAGGTGCCGAGCTGTACAGAAAGCTCCCTGAGGATGATTACTGCTTTTATTATTCAGCTTAGAAGGTCAGCATGAAATTGGGTTCGGGAGGCTAGATATTAGCATGTATTACTCAAATTCAGAGCAATAACTGCATTTATGATAAACACGTTTTCTAAATGTTGTAGGAAAATATACTCTGGAAAAATGCTGAATGTTTGTGTTGGCTCCAGACTTCCTCTAAATAGGTTATGGATTTACTGTGGCACAGACTTTTTCAAGCAATATCAAGTTGAGGTGATGTAATGATGCTTAAAAATTATGAAAGTTAGGGGATGCAAAGAGCCCATATTTCCAGTGTGTTGTTCATAAGCTGAAAGGACATACATTGTTAGCATTAATTGTACATTAAAAAATTTGCATAGTTACTTAGATGCCATGCACTTTGCCAAATGCTCTGCTTTTTTAAAATTAAGGTAGAGTTCACACACCATAAAATTCACCATTTAAAGTGTATAATTTAGTTGTTTTAGTATAGTCACAAGATTGTACAGACTAATTCCAGAACATATCATCAGCTGAAAAATAAACCCCGTTCCCATTAGCAGTCACTCCCCATGCCCCCTTCCTTCTACCACTGGCAGCCACTAATTTTTCTTTCCTTATAAAATTGCCTATTCTGGGCCAGGCGCGATGGCTTACATCGATAATCCCGGCACACTGGGAGGCCGAGACGGAAGGATCACGAGGTCAGGAGATTAAGACCATCCTGGCCAACATGGTAAAAACCCGTCTCTACTAAAATATAAAAAATTAGCTGGGCATGGTGGCACACGCCTGTAGTCCCAGCTGCGCAGGAGGCTGAGGCAGTAGAATCGCTTGAACCCAGGAGGTAGAGGTGAGCCAAAATTGCACCACTGCACTCCAGCATGGCGACAGAGCGAGACTCTGTCTAAAACAATTAAAAAATAAAAAATTGCCTATTCGGGACATTCCACATAAATGAAATCATGTACTATGTTGTCTTTTGTGTCTGACTTCTTTCACCTAGCATGTTTTCAAGGTTCATTCATGTTGTAGCGTGTATCAGTACTTCATTCCTTTTTGTGCTGAATAATAGTCGATTATAAGGATACACCACATTTTGTTTATCCGTTCATCAGCTGATGAACATTTGGGTTGTTTTCACTTTTTGACTGTTGTGACTAATGCTGCTATAAATATTCTTGTATGAGTTTTTGTATAGATATGTGGTTTCGTTCCCTTGAGTGTTTACCTAGGAGCAGAACTGCTGGATCATATGGTAACTCCATATTCAACATTTTGAGGAACCACCAAACTTTTTCAAAGTGGCCACACCATTTTACAATCCTGCTAGCAGTGTATGATAATCCTATTTCTCTGCATTCTTACCAACACTTGCTATGTCCACCTTTTTTATTTTAGCCATCTTTGTGGGTATGAAGTGGTATCTACTTGTGGTTTTGATTTACATTTCCCTAATGGCTAATGATGTTGAGTAAATTTTCTTAGGCTTATTGGCTATATAAATATGCTTTCCTTGGAGAAATGTCTATTCAAGCCCTTTGCCCTTTTTTTAATTGGGTTGTCTTTTATTTTTGAGTTGAGTTATTTTTATATATATACTTTATCACGTATATGATTTTTAAATACTTGTCCCATTCTGTGGGTTGTCTTTTCAGATGGTGTTCTATGATAAGGCACGGAACATTTTAATTTTGATGAAGTCCAATTTATCGCTTTCTTTTTTTACTTGTGCTTTTGGTATCACATAGCTAAGAAATCACCGTGTAATCCAAAGTCACAAAGATTTACTCCTGTGTTTTCTTCTAACGGTTTTATAGTTTAGCTCTCACATTTAGGTCTTTGATCAAATTTCAGTTAATTTTTGCATATGGTGTGATACAGAGGGTCCAGCTTCACTCCTTTGCATGTGACTATCCAGTTGACATAGCACTGTTTCAGCCTGTTCCTTCACCTTTGAGTGTCTTAGCACTCTTGTAAAACAATCACTTGACTGACTTGTATAAGCTCATGTGTGCTCTATATTCTATATTAATGGAATTTTATTTCATTAATCTATATGTCTGTCTTTATGTACCACACTGTGTTGATTGCTATTGTGTTCTAGTGTAGGAGAGGGGAAATAACTTCTTCTTTAGTCCTCATGAGTTCTTCCTTGGGACGGACCCTGTAACAAGACAAACAAGTTTATTCACGTGTCTAGTGCGTGTTATGTGGGAGAGATCTCAGTGCAAAGTAACTGAGGGCAGTGGCTTAGAGCTCTACTTACATGACACAAGACATCTTATCCAAAAAAATGTTGGTAGCACAGCACACTGGAGACTCTCTGTTGTCCCCTTTTGATGGGGTGGCTGACGGGGAGCTACTCTCGCTGCCCAGCATCATGAGAGTGTATCGTCCTGCACGTCACTAGCTGGGAAGTGAGCAAAATTCAGAACTCTTTAAAGTATGGTTTGAATGTGCATTGCTGTCACATTATGGCAAAATCAGAAAACCCTAAGTCAGGGACCGCCTGTATGTGGGAGGAAAATAATAGAGTGAGTTTTGTGAATTGCTCTGGGCTGATAAGGGAGTAGAGACCTGGTGAGTAAAGGAGAATTTATATACCGCCCATAGGAAGAAAAGGGGGAGGTTAGACAGAGCTTTTTCTCTGTTTGCTGCTGCTTTTTAATTGTCTGCTTTAATTATCTTCCCAGAAATAATTTTTATGTCCAAGTCATATTTTGGCATTAACGTAGTGTCCTGTGATAGTCAGTTTTAAATCAAGAAGTATGAGTTCTCCTCCTGTCCCTTTGTTTTTTAAAAAAATTAGTTTAGCTCTTCTGGGTCCCTTGTATTTCCATATGAATTTTAAGATCAATTGTCAATTTCTGCAAGAAAAAAAAAGCCATCTTGGATTTTGACAGGGATTGATCTGTACATCAGTTTGGGGAGTGTTGCCATGTTAGTTTGTTAATTCCTCTAATCCATGAACACCAGATGTCTTTTTATTTCTTTAGGTCTTTAATTTGTTTCAGTGATGTTTTGTAGTTTTCAGTGAACAATGTTGCTCTTTAAATTTTGTCCTAAGCATTTTTATTCTTTTCAGTAGTATTGCAAATTAAATTGCTCTCTTAATTTGATTTCTGAATTGTTCATTGCCAGTTTTTACATGTTATTTTTGATAATTGATCCTCTGTCCTGCAACCTTACTAAACTCATTACAAGCTCTAATGATTGTTTTATGGATTTCTTGGGATTTTCTTGATATAAGAACAAGTCATCTGTAAATAGAGGTAGTTGTACTTCCTTTCCAATCTGGATATCTTTCATTTCTTTTTCTTGCCCATTTGTTGACAAAAAGAGTCTAGCTCTGTAAAATATTTGAAGACATTTATTCTAAGCCAAATGTGAGTGACCATGGCCCGTGACACAGCCCTCAGGAGGTCCTGAGAACGTGTGCCCAAGGTGGTTGGGGTGCAACTTGGTTTTAGACATTTTAGGGAGGCATCAGGCATCAGTCAAATACATTTAATAGGTAGATTGGTTTGGTCCCAAAAGGCAGGAAAAGGTGGGGAAGGTTCCAGCTTATAGGTAGGTTTTAAATTTTTCTTGTTGAAAATTGGTTGAGTTTATCTAAAGAACTGGGGTCAATAGGAAGGACTATCTGGGTTAAGATAAAGGATGATGGAGACTAAAGTTCATTACTGCAGAGGAAACCTTCAGAGAGTAGGCTTCAGAGAGAACAGATTTTAAATGTTTCTTACCAGACTTAAAGTCTGTGTTGAAGTTAATGCTGGAGGGCATAATGAGGCTTGTCTCACCCCTACTTCCCGTCATGGCCTGAACCAGTCTTCAGGTTAAATTTTAGAGTGCCCTGACTGAGGAGGAAGACCATTCAGATGGTCAGAGAGCCTTAGAATTTTATTTTTGTTTTACAGCCTGTGGTATGATGTTGAAAAGAAGTCAAAGAGTAGACTTCCTTGTCTTTTTTCTTTACTTAGGGGGAAAGCTTTTGGTCTTCACCGCTGAGTACGATGTGAGTTTTTTAGGATGACTTTCATCAACATGAGGAAGTTTTCTTCTATTTCAAGCTTGCTGAGTTTTTATCATGGAAAGGTGTTGGAATTTGCAAATACGTTCTCTGCATCTATTTTGAGATGATTGTGTGGTTTTCTTTGTTCTGTTACCATGGTGTAATTTACATTGATTGATTTTTCATAGGTTGATGACATTTCGTTCCTGGGATAAATCCCAAGCATGGTTGTATCTTGCTGGATTTGGTTTGCTGGTATTTTGTTGAGAATTTTGGTGTCATATTCATAAGGAATATTGGTTGTCGTATTAAGCCGTTTTTGCTTTACTATAAAGAAATACGTGGCCAGGTGTGGTGGCTCATGCTTGTAATCCCAGCACTTTTGGAGGCCAAGGTGGGTGGATTACTTGAGGTCAGGAGTTCGAGACCAGACTGGCCAACATGGTGAAACCCCATCTCTACTAAAAATACAAAAATTAGCTGGGCATGGTGGCAGGTGCCTGTAATCCCAGCTACTTAGGAGACTGAGGTAGGAGAATCACTTGAACCCGGGAGGTAGAGGTTGCAGTGAGCCAATATTGTGCCACTGCGCTCCAGCCTGGGCAGCAGAGTGAGACTCTCTCAAAAAAAAAAGATGTGAGACTGGGTAATGTATCAGAAAAGAGATTTAATTGGCTCGTGGTTCTGCAGGCTGTACCGGAAGTATAGCACTGGCACCTGTTTCTGGGGAGGCCTCAGGAAGCTTAGAATCATGGCAGAAGGCCAAAAGGGAACAGGCATTTCACATGGTGGGAGCAGGAGGAAGAGGGAGAGTCAGGGGAAAGGTACCACACGCTTTTAAATGACCAGATCTCACAAGAACTCACTCAGTATTGCTGTCATGAAGACAGCACCAAGCTGTGAGGGATCTGCCCCAGTGGTGCAAACACCCCCTACTAAGCCCCACCTCCAGCAATAGGTGTTACAATTCAACCTGAGTTTCGGGCGGGGCAAATACTCAAACGTTATCAGTTGTTTTCTTGAGATGTTTTGGTTTTGCTGTCAGGGTAGTACTGGCCTAAGATGAGCTAGGAAGTATATTCTTTTCTGTTTTTTGAAAGAGTTCATGAAGGATTGTTGTTCATTTTTGCTTTCACGTTTGTTAGAATTCTCCAGTAAAAGTGTCTGATCATTAGGGGTGTGGGTGTATGTATAAAGTTTTTTTGATTACTAATTTAGTTTTTTTTTTTTTTTTTTTGAGACGGAGTTTCACCCTTGTCCAGGCTGGAGTGCAGTGGCACAGTCTTGGCTCACTGCAACCTCAACCTCCTAGCTCAAGCACATCTCCTGCCTCAGCCTCCCGAGTAGCTGGGATTACAGGCACCCACCCCCACGCCCAGCAAATTTTTTTGTATTTTTTGTAGAGATGAGGTTTCACCATGTTGGTCAAGCTGGTCTTGAACTCCTGACCTCAGGTGATCCACCCACCTTGGCCTCCCAAAGTGCTGGCATTACAGGCATGAGCCACTGCGCCCTGCCACTAATTTAGTTTCTTTACTTGTTACAGGTATATTTAGATTTTCTATTTCTGTTTGAGTCAGTTTCTATAGTTTGTGCCTTTCTAGAAATTTGTTTATTTTATGTAGGCTATTTAATTTGTTGGCATAAAATTGTTCATAGTATTCCTTTGTAATCCTTTTTATTTATGTAAGGCTAATAATAGTAATGTCCCTCCTTTCTTGATTTTAGCAATTTCAATTTTCTTTCTTATTTTTTTCCCCAGTCTAGCTAAAGGTGTATTAGTTTTGTGGATCTTATCAAGGAACTACTTTTAGTTCGTTGATTTTTCTCTATTGTTTTCCATCTTTTATTTTTTAAGCTGCCTTCTTATATATAAGCAGTTCCCAAAGTGTGTTTTGGGAACCCTCAGGGGTCCTTGAAGTAAAAATGAATGCAGTGTTCATTTGCCTTCCACACTCTGATTTTCTCACGAATGTGTATTGGAGTTTCCAGTGGTCCCATGACTTACCAAATTGCAACAGATTGCAGGTAGAAACAGAGATGAGAATCCTGTTAATTATAAGCCAGATGAGAGATAAGCTAGTTTATATTAAGCCAGACATTTTGAAGTTTGCAATACTCCAAAGCAATGCCATTCTTTTTTTTAAATGGGGTCTTGCTATGTTGCCCAGGCTGGGCTCGAACTCCTGGGCTCAGGTGATCCTCTGATCTCAGTCTTCCCAGTAGCTGGGATTATAGGTACTTTCCACCACATCCAGCCTTTTCACTATTTTTTGTTTGTTTGTTTTGGAAAATGTAGTTATTTTTTATGAAAAAGTACTAACAGTAACATGTCTTGCTATTTTAAAAGGAATTAGTAAATATTTTTACAATTCTCAGTTTAAATTGCTGATTCGTATTAAAAATATAATCTCTTTAGGGTTCTCAGTAATTTTTAAGAATATAAAGAAGCCTCAAGGCTGGGCGTGGTAACTCACTCCTATAATTTCACTGCTTTGGGGGCCTGAGGTGGGAGGATCACTTGAGGTTAAGAGTTCGAGACCAGCCTGATCAACACAGCACAATCCTGTCTCCGCAAAAAAATTAAAAGAAAAAATATTAGTCTAGCATGGTGGCTCATGCCTGTAGTCCTAGCTACTTGGGAGGCTGAGGAGAGAGGATTACTTGAGCCCAGAAGTTTGAGATTGCAGTGAGCTCTGATTGTACCACTGCACACCACCCTGGGCGACAGAATGAGACCCCCGTCTCTTATAAAAAAATGCCTTCAAGTCAAACATTTTAAAGCTACTGTTATATATTACCTCATCAAATCTTTAAAATAATCCTAAGGGTTAGAAACTCCTATTTGTAGCTAAACAAAATGGAAGAGATAAATGCAGAATTTTAGAGGTAGGGGCCAAGATTTTTTTTTTTTTTTTTTTTTTTTTTTGAGACGGAGTCTCGCTCTGTCGCCCAGGCTGGAGTGCAGTGGCCGGATCTCAGCTCACTGCAAGCTCCGCCTCCCGGGTTTACGCCATTCTCCTGCCTCAGCCTCCCGAGTAGCTGGGACTACAGGCGCCCGCCACCTCGCCCGGTTAGTTTTTTGTATTTTTTAGTAAAGACGGGGTTTCACCGTGTTAGCCAGGATGGTCTCGATCTCCTGACCTCATGATCCGCCCGTCTCGGCCTCCCGAAGTGCTGGGATTACAGGCTTGAGCCACCGCGCCCGGCCGGGGCCAAGATTTAAAACCAAATTTTTAATATTCCAAAGTTTATATGTATTACAGTGAATACCTAATTATCCATATTTTCTTCCTTTTCCATACTCTAATTTCTTAAGATTTAAAACAAGCTAGTGAGTCTTTAAGAGGAGTGTATTTTCTGGGTATTGTGTGGTGAAATGTTAGCTGCTGTATGACTTTTCTCCAGCTGTGATGACCCTTTGGTATTCCCTCTACAGAAAGATGTGTCATGGCAATGCTGAGAAAGAGAATCAGGGATGAGAAGACCAACGTTAGGAAGTCTGCACTGCAGGTGGGAGTTTTCTCTGCACATTTTTTTTTTTTTTAAAGCACTAAAAACTTGGAAATGCAAAGGGATATTTTTTAAACTCCTAGACCATATTCATTATTTAATTTGCTTTTCACTGAACTGTTAGTTGACCCTGATCCTGTTATATGTGAATCATAGATGAACTGGAAGATTATTTATTTTTAAGCTTTCCTACAGGGTTTCTGATTTTTTTAAGAACCACAAATTTATATCCTTAATTTGTTTAGAATAGGGATTCTTAAACTAGGGACCATGGGTGGATTTTAATAGGTTCATAAAATTGTTTGTAAATATTTGTTTATATAAAATTTGTTTTTCTTTGAGAGAGGCCTTAGCAAATTGGATTCTGAAAAATGGGATGTTGTGAGGAGGAAGGTTGGATCCATGACCCCAAAATGTTAAGAACCACAAACTTAAAGGAAGTGTTCCTTTGTTAACAGTTTATCTTTCTGAGTTGATTCTATGCAGTCATCACTTCATGTTGCATATATGCCTTCTAGGTGTTAGTGAGTATTTTGAAACACTGTGATGTCTCGGGCATGAAGGAAGACCTGTCGATTCTGCAGGACCAGTGTCGGGACCCTGCGGTGTCTGTCCGGAAGCAGGCCCTCCAGTCTCTTACTGAACTCCTCATGGTGAGAGGCAGGACATTAGATATGTAATGCACAGTATTTTACATTAAAAGTAATTCCATGCAATAGTTACCTGCTGCTAAATGTTAAGTTGACCTTTAAAAACTCTTAAGTCCACTGTAGAACTGTATCAACATAAGGGAGGAGGTATCTTTGAATTATGTATGATAGACTGTGCTTCCTATTAAACATAATTAGGAACTAATGCTAGTGAATGCCAATTGTTAGCCCTTTCTTCACTTTGTTTTTTATTTTTTTTGAGACAGAGTCCTGCTCTGTTTCTCAGGCTGGAGTGCAGTGGCGCAATCTTGGCTCACTGCAACCTCCGCCTCTCGGGTTGAAGCAGCACTCCTGCCTCAGCCTCCTGAATAGCTAGGACTACAGACAGGTGCTGCCATGCCTGGCTAATTTTTGTATTTTCAGTAGAAACAGGGTTTCACTATGTTGGCCAGGCTAGTCTCGAACTCCTGACCTCAGGTGACCCGCCTGCTTTGGCCTCTCAAAGTGCTGGGATTACAGCCATGAGTGACTGCACCCGACCCTTTTCTTCACTTTAAATCTCACACAGAAAAATAAAATTTTAAGTTGATTTGGTTAAGCTGGAGGCCTAGACTAAATTTAGTCAATTAGGGCATAGATAGGTGATACTGCCAAAAGAGCAGACTCACAAGTACTATATTTAATTTACTCTTGTCAGCTAGGTAGCATTTTAGTCGAATTTTAAAAGCATGTTTATTTCTTTATTTCATGATAGAAGGCATTAAGCAACGAATATTTTGACTTTTTCTGTCAGTGTCTGTTCTGATTGCTCTTTGGGATATTTATTATTTGCTCTTGATTTTTAATGACCAAAAAAGTACTGATTTATTTCTACTAGTAAAACAGTGACTTTAATGTATAAAAGTTTAAAATTTTGGTTTGCACTGATTTACATTAAGCTGGCTTTGCTTTTGTATATTTTTTGATTTTTTTTTTCACTTGGTGGTCTATTTGCAGTTGAATGTGTGATTATTTTTAACATGTCAAAATGTTGATCACAGCTTCCCTGACTTGTATTTAGACCTTCTTATGTCATAATCTTTCACTCCTAAGGCTCAGCCTAGATGCATGCAGATCCAGACAGCCTGGCTGCGGGGGTTGGTCCCGGTGGTGATGGACTGTGAGAGCACTGTGCAGGAGAAGGCCCTGGAGTGCCTGAACCAGCTGCTGCTGCAGAACATCCGGCATCACAGTCATTTTCACGCTGACGACGACAGCCAGGTCCTCACCTGGGCACTTCTTACTCTCCTCACCACAGAAAGCCAGGAACTGAGGTAGGTTAACTGTATGACCTGTGTTCCCTGTAGAAGAAGACTGTAAGACTTTGTATTAATAAATTTCTCCTACTGGTCCTTGAAAAATCAGCTTTCCAGATTACTTAGTGTATGTGAAGATTCAATATTGGTCTCTTTTTCCTTGACTCACTTCAAATCTCTTAGATATTTTTATCGACTGTATGTTTGTGACACCTTTTTGGTCACTTCCTGTGCATCCGTCTGACACTTTCCAGTTTCATATTGGTATCTTAATATGTAATAGACAACACTGATGGAAATACATATTAATATCACGTTTCCCCAATGCTGGTTATCATGAAGGATGACTTCCTAGCTCCTAGGAAGTTAAACTGTTTTTAACACCTTATTGGATTAATTGACTTAACTAACGCTGCAGGCTTTCTCCCCTTTGATAACATTTATTGAACATACACTGTACAGTGAATATTGTGTTTAGGAGTTAGGACCTGTGATGGAGGAATCATCTTGCAGTAGAAAGAGAATAGATTTAGTATCAAAAGATACCATTCTACGGCCTTGGCAAAAATCACTTTCTCTGAGCCTTAGTTTCCTGATTTGTAAGAGGCAGCCGTTGTACTCCAGGATCTCTTCATATCTCTTTAGGTGTTACAACTTTATGCCTGAAAAAGTGTGTTCATTCAGTAAAGGTTTTCTCAGTACAGGTTGAGCATCTGAAATCCAAAAATCTAAAATCCAAACAATGTCAGCATGATGCCACAAGTGGAAGATCTCACACCTGACCTCATGAGATAGGTCACAGTCAAAATGCAGGCTCACAACATAACAGCCTGTTCAGCATCCCCAAGTGAAAAATAAAATCACCTTCAGGCTGTGCATATAATGTGTATACGAGACTTTGGTCCCATCCCCAAGATATCTTACTAAGTATGTGCAAATATTCCAAAATCCAAAACACTTCTGGTCCCAAGCATTTCAGGTAAGTGATACTCAACCTGTATCTACTCCATGCTTTGCTGAGATTTCTAGAAGGGAGAGATTTAGCCAATAATAGAGTCTACTGCTTTTTCACTTTTTAGAGATACCTCCTTATACATACTCAGTGTATTAATTCATGTTAGCTTAATGTAAAGTAGCAGTCATTCTTCGCAGAAAAGCAGGAGAGGCCATGCTCAGTGTATTAATCCATGTTAGCTTAATGAAAAGTAGCAGTCATTCTTCGCAGAAAAGCAGGAGAGGCCTTCTGCAGCTCCTGAGAAGCTGTTGGGAGGTTTTAAAATTTATTTTTCTTTATAAAAATTTTTTATTGAAGTATAGCATGTCTTGAAAAGTACACAAACCGTAAGGTCAGTAAATATCACAAGGAAAGTATACCTGTGTAACCACCATGCAGTCTCTGTTTATCATTGTAGGTGGTAGCCACTTCTGCCCAAGTTGCCTAACACTTGAAAAAGAGTGGCCCAGAACTCATGTGCTGCACATTTTGTGAAATTACTCTTGACTTCTGATTTCATGGCAACTCTTCTTATTTTCCAGTGTTGCTTAAAATTTTGTCGTCTTTTTGGTATTCGTTTATTTCAGAGGTCTTTAAGGAGACATTAAAACAAACAAAGAAACATGGGCTCATTATGAAACCTGGAATCAGGTTGTGGATGGAACTGCTTAAGGAGATTATAAAATGAGTAAGAAAAAATGCAAGCTTAGAAGAGGAACCTTGCAGAAGATGTGCATTGAAGACTTCAACAGAGAAAGATAGCCATGTCAAAAAGACTTAAAAAGTATGAAGAGGTAGAGGAACAACTATGAGAAAATGATTCAAATGGAAACAGGGAGTGAGGATTTCAAGCAAAACCAGTAGTCGACAATTCTAAATGTCTCAAAAACAGTTCAAAAAAAAAGTCTCAAAAAAACATTTCAAAACTCATTCACATAATTCACATCAAGTTTAAATCTTACACCCAGCCAGATTATTCAACATACAGGGTAAAATAAAGCCATACTGAGACTAGCGGAAAACCAAGGGTGTTTATCACCACTACCCCTCCACTAAAGGGCCATCTATGAAGGATGTACTTCAGGCCAGGCTATAATCCCAGCACTCTGGGAGGCTGAGGCGGGAGAACTGCTTAAGGCCAGGAGTTTGAGATCATCCCTGGCAATGTAGTGAGACCTTGTCTCTACAAAAAAAAAAAAAATAGCCATTTGTGGTGGCGCATGCCTATAGTCCCAACTACTTGGGAGGCTGTGGTGGGAGGATCCCTTTAGCCCAGGAGGTGGAGGCTGCAAATGAGCTGTAATTGTACCACTGCACTCCAACCTGGGTGACAGAGCAAGACCTTGTCTCAAAAAAAAAGAATGTACCTCAGAAGGATGGAAACTGAATTCAGAAGGGAGGAATGGCATATGAGAAGGAAGGGTTGCTAAGAAATTGATAAACACATAGATGAATCTAAATTAAGCATAGCCATTGCAAATCAGTAACAACAATGATACGAAGATGACTAATTGGGATGACTGAAAGCCAGGTGAAGCTAAAATATAAAATAGTATGTAGGATGAGCTGGAGGGTGCATTTACTTGCATTTCTAGCATTGGATAGGAGACTAGAGATGCTCATTAGCATTAAACTCGAGTCAACACTGCAGACAACCAGGGATAGTCGTATGTAACTTCTGAGCCAGCAGAACAGAAGTAACACTGAAGAAAGTTCAGTGCAAGAAAAGGCGGAACAGAAGCGAGGTTAAAAAATGAGAAGGAAATAAAAAGCATGGTATATTGAAATCATAAAATAAAGGGGTAAATTAATCCAATAGGTCAGTAATCTCTATAAATGTCAGTGACTTACATTTAACAGTTAGTGGACAAAATCTTTGGATATAAAAACCAAAATCCAACTACATACTGTTTATAAGAGCCACACCTAAAATAAAGTTACCAGAAATGGCGAAAGTAAGAAAAAGGTTACTAGAAAAATAATGCAAAAAGGAGGCTGTATCAGATAGAACAGAATTTAAAATAGAGCCGGGCGCGGTGGCTCAAGCCTGTAATCCCAGCACTTTGGGAGGCCGAGACGGGCGGATCATGAGGTCAGGAGATCGAGACCATCCTGGCTAACACGGTGAAACCCCGTCTCTACTAGAAAATACAAAAATCTAGCCGGGCAAGGTGGCGAGCGCCTGTAGTCCCAGCTACTCGGGAGGCTGAGGCAGGAGAATGGCGTAAACCCGGGAGGCGGAGCTTGCAGTGAGCTGAGATCCGGCCACTGCAGTCCAGCTTGGGCGACAGAGCGAGACTCCGTCTCAAAAAAAAAGAAAAAAAAAAAAAAAGAATTTAAAATAGAGTCAAATAGAATTTAAGGAAAATGTCATCAGTTGTAAAGAAAGTTACTCATAAAGGAATTATACCTGGAAGAGGTATGTGTTCCTAAAGAATACGTATAAAACCCCGTGCCCAACAGAAGCACATATTTCTAAGTTTATGTGAACCATTTATAAAAATTGATTATGTACTATTTCATAGAGTCAGTCTTAAATATCAACAATTCTATATTAACAGGATAATGTTCTCTGAGTATTATATAATGTAAAGGAAAACCTCAAAAAAGAGTATTTGAAGAATTTAAAAAGATACTTCTAAATAACTCCAAGGTCAAAGACCAGTGAATTGTAAGATTTTTGGAACAATACGTGCCAAAACTGGTAGAATGCATTTAATGAAGTACTTAGGAGGAAATATGTAATGTTATGTGTATTAGAAAAGGAAAGGACTGAAAACTGATGAGCTGAAGGTTCAATTTAAGAAGTTGCAAAAAGTCATTGAATAAACTTGAGGAAAAGAAATGCTAAAATTAAGACTGGAAATTTAAAAACTAGGAAAGAAAAACTGAGTCTTCGGAAAGTCTAATGGAAAAGATAAAGTTCTGCCGAGATATGACAAGAAAAAAGGTACAAATAAATAATATTAATGATGAAATGGGTGATACAACTACAGATGTCTTATTCAGTAGTATACATTCAAAAACAGACTGTTCAGAATGTGTTAGTATTTTTTAAAGGGCACAGTTCTGTATAGGCATTTTTTAGTCTGAAGTTTTAGTTGATACAGCTCTTTGTATTAATTTGCTAGGGCCACCATAACAAAACACCACAGAGCAGGTGGCTTGAATAACAGAAATTTATTTTCTCACAGTTCTGGAGGGTAGAAATTTGAGATCAAGGTGCCAGGAGAGTGGATTTCTCCTGAGGCCTCCCTCCTTGGCTGTGTTCTCACACATATCCCTGGTGTCTCATTCTGTGTCGGCATTTCTTCTTACAAGGACACCCTTTGTGTCTGGAATTTATTCCTTTTGGTGGGTTCTTGGTCTCGCTAACTTCAAGAATAAAGCCGCGGACCTTCGCGGTGAGTGTTACAGCTCTTAATGATGGTGTGTTCTGAGTTTGTTCCTTCAGATGTTCAGATGTGCCTGGAGTTTCTTCCTTTTGGTGGGTTCGTGGTCTCGCTGACTTCAGGAGTGAGGCCGCAGACCTTCGCAGTGAGTGTTACAGCTCTTAAAGGTGGCACGTCCAGAGTTGTTTGTTCCTCCTGGTGGGTTTGTGATCTCACTAACTTCAGGAATGGAGCCGCATACCCTCGTGTTGAGTGTTACAGCTAATAAAGGCAGTGCAGACCCAAAGAGTGAGCAGCAGCAAGATTGTGAAGAGCAAAAGAACCAAGCTTCCACAGCATGGAAGGTGACCCAAGCAGGTTGCTGCTGCTGGCTCCGGTGGCCAGCTTTTATTCCCTTATTTGGCCCCGCCTATGTCCTGCTGATTGGTCCATTTTACAGAGCGCTGATTGATCCATTTTACAGAGTGCTGACTGGTGCATTTACAGTCCTTTAGCTAGACACAGCATGCTCATTGGTGCGTTTACAATCTTTTAGCTAGACACAGAGTGCTGATTGGTGTGTTTTTACAGAGTGCTGATTGGTGCGTTTTTATAGAGTGCTGATTGGCGCATTTATAATCCTTTAGCTAGACACAGAGCGCTGATTGGTACATTTTTACAGAGTGCTGATTGGTGCATTTACAATCCTTTAGCTAGACACAGAGTGCTGATTGGTACGTTTCCAATCCTCTAGCTAGACAGAAAAGTTCTCCAAGTCCCCACTTGATCCAGGAAGCTGGCTGCTTCTCTCATGTTGAACTTGGGTTAGGGCCCACCCTAACAGCCACATTTTAACTTCATCTCCTCTGTAAAGGCCCTATAGGAGGGAATGGTAGAGGTGATGAAAGCTGAGCCTGAGGTTTGGAGGAATTGGAAGAGGAAATAGTTGATTCAATTGAACAAACATATTTTGAGGACTTCATTTTCCGGGACTGGTTCTAAGTGCTGGAGATTCACAGAATAGTTCAGTGCACTTCCTCTACTCCAGTTGGTCTGGTGAAATAGACAAAAGCAAGTCACAATTTTACTGGAAATGGAGCTACAGAAGAACAGAGGAAGGGCACATGGCATTTTGGTGATTATTTCTTCCTCTTTTTCCTCTTCTTGTCCTCCTTCTTTCTTCTTCTAGCTTAGGCTGGCTTCCCAGAAGTAGTGGCATGGGCAGAATATTTGCAAATGTGTGGGAATTAAGCAGCCAGAATAGTGAGGGTTACCAGGAAGGACATAGTTATGCAAAAGCTCAGGCCAGAAGGCTCTACCAAATCTCAGGAAAATGCCTTGATCAATAGGTGTAGAGAGCAGAGGTCAGGCAGGTCGAGCACGGAGGGCGTACTGGAGATGGAAGCCCAGCTTCGACTTGGAATGCTTTATCACATCTCAGTTGGGAGCTCTTGGTAATGCATGAGGTCACCCAGAGTTAGGTTGGAGATAAGAGGTCTAAGAATAGAGCTTTTCAAATCAGCAATTAGTTATTAGAAGGCAGGAATTAGTTAAAGATGAAAAGAGATCCAGCTGGTGGACCAAAGCCTCAGTGCAAAAAGTAGTCAGTAACCTCTGATGGAGGCCATGGAGATGGGCCTGAAGCATGGCCGTTGGTTTTGGTACTAAGATTAGAGGTTAGTGTGTTGGGTCACAGTCTGCCCAGGTGGGGAATGGCTGTGGTCCTCAGCTGGGCTGGGAGGCTGGGTGGGAGTGGAGGGCTGGGAGTTGTCAAAGAGGAGCCAAGTTTGAGATTTCTACAAGTTTTCTGAACTCTGCAAGTTCAGAGAATTTTTTCCCCATTCTGTTGGCTACATATAATAAACATTACTTAATATTTTATATAATTATTTTAAAATATTTGTTCATTGCTTATATTTTGTGGTATTTGGACATAAGTCAGATATAAATCATATTGTAAGCTAACTGTAGTAAGATTCGACATCTGTGGATGGATTTTTAATAGCTGATATATTAACAAAACTTCATTTATATTCATATGCTTATTATGGTATATAGATGTGTTTATTTTGTTATAGTTACCTTGTTCTGTATGCTCTGAGAATTTCCCTTTTAAAAACAATTTAATGAGGAATTCCTGATGTTTGTGTGTGTGTATGTATGTGTATGTGTTTTCCCAGAAGTCTTAAGAAAAATTAATCAAGGGAAGAGGTGTATTTTTCTCTTCATTTAAATATATAATATGGCATTGTCTCATGAGTCATATGATCCCATTCAGTGACATGGGAAGAAGTAAAATAAGAGATAGTTCTAAAACAACGGTGACGGCCAGGCACAGTGGCTCACAACTATAATCTCAGTACTTTGGAAGGCCAAGACAGGAGGATGGCTTGAGCCCGGAAGTTCAAGACCAGTCTAGGCAACATAGCGAGACCCTGTCTCGAAAGAGAGAGAGATAGAAAAGAAAGAGAGAAAGAGAAGAAAGAAAGAGGGAAAGAGAGGGAAGAAGATTAGCCAGGTATGATGACCATGCCTGTAGTCTCAGCTACTCTGGAGGCTGAGGGAAGAGGATTGATTGAACCCAGGAAGTGGAAGCTACACAGAGAGCTGTGATCATACTACTGTGATCCAGCCTGGGTGACAGAATGTGACCCTGTCTCAAAAAATACTAGTATAACACAAACACTTTAGTACATCAGAAGCACTCTTTTTGTTTTGAAAAGGTTTGAAATATCTATTTCTGAGTGGTATTAAGTTATTGCATATTTTAGCTCATTCAATATATTTAATTGTTAGGTTGTCATTTACAATCCTTCCATTGAAAAAAGGACAATGTTACTAATTTCTGTCACTATAACTGTGTGAGCTCTGAATGTATCTGTAACTGACCCCATGCAGTTATGTAGAAATTTTGGAGGAGAGAAGGAGAAGAGTCTCAAATGAATTGTGAAATTTTATTCTTTGCTTTAAGAAACATTTTATGAGGGGAAAAATGAATATAACTGTTTATAGAATAATAAAAATTTAAAAGATACCTAGTTTGATATCAGACATGCCACTAATTAGGAAAGTCTGTGAAAGTTTCATGTGCCACGTGAGTCCTGGAGCAGCAGAAGTTGATACCCTTTTAGTGAGGCGCTGATCGGAATTGTTTTGTATATTTACAGTTGCAATTCTGCTTTTCTATCTTTTTTTTTTTTTTTTTTTTCTAGCCGATATTTAAATAAGGCTTTTCATATCTGGTCCAAGAAAGAAAAATTCTCATCCACTTTTGTAAACAATATAATATCTCACACTGGCACGGAACATTCGGCACCTGCCTGGATGCTGCTTTCCAAGATTGCTGGCTCCTCACCCAGGCTGGACTACCGCAGAATAATACAGTCCTGGGAGAAAATCAGCAGGTTTGTATCTTCTGATTTGACTACTAATGACACTGAAGAGTCTTAGAAACAAAGCCCAAGGCTTAAGGAAGTGGGCCTTTTTCATAGCTATTCATATACAGAGATCTTCTGTTTAAAACCTGGTATAAAAACAAGCATGAAAAAATGAGAATCATGTTTAACCCATTTCCCCTTTGTCCAAGTACAGTAAGTGCCTTGATGTTCCCACAGCTTGACTTCTAAGCCACGCTACCTATCCTGCTTCCTCCAGTGTTAATAATCCAGAAGAAAGGCCTTTGTTGGCAGCAGTGTTTAACTTGCTTCTCCCTTGATACTTCTCCTGCCCTTTCTCTAGTCAGCAGAATCCCAATTCAAACACCTTAGGACACATTCTGTGTGTGATGGGGCATATTGCAAAGCATCTTCCTAAGAGCACCCGGGACAAAGTGACTGGTGAGTGTGTTGGAGAATCTTACTTGAAAATGCATTGCTGTTCATTTCAGGGGTGTGTGTGTGTGTGTGTGTACCTGAATATATTTAAGCAGTTGAACTTCAGGGGTTTTGACTTCCTTCATAGATGCTGTCAAGCGTAAGCTGAGTGGATTTCAGTGGTCTCTAGAGGTGATCAGTTCGGCTGTGGACGCTTTGCAGAGGCTTTGTAGAGCATCTGCAGAGACACCAGCAGAGGAGCAGGTATGGCCAGACTTTCCCTGATACGTTTCTGACTTCTTTGTGCTTAGGGTGTTACTGTATGTGTTTTGAAGTTTGAGGAGCATGTTCTGTAAATAAGAGGACATGTAAGGATGTCCCCAGCAGCTATTGCCGCGACAAGGCAAGGTTTACATAACTGGCAATTGACATTCCCCAAGAAGATTGAGCTGCTGAAGAGAAATGGCTCCCGTAGATGGTCACCACCTTGATCGCAGGGGCAGGTGTCTTTAGATAGACACTCCTGTTGATTGTCTGTCATTTCCTGGTGAGAATTCTGCAAGGTTATCTTTCTCCTTGACCTCCACTCTCATTCCAAGAACGTTTATAGGCAGTTTTCCACCTAAGCAGGAAGTTCCCTCCAGAACAGTTTTCTGACCTTTTGATAAATCATAATCTTGGACATGCCTGTCCTGTTACGATGAGGTTACACTACTCAAATATCTCTTGTTGGTATCATGTCCCCGAGGTTGCCTACAGCCCGCAGCTAATGTTTTTATATATGCATAAACACAAATCCAAATCAGCGATTTATATGAGGCAGAGAGTTACTTTGACTCCTTAAAAGGTATGCATACCAGTAACTCTGAAGAAATCATTTTATTACCATATATTTATTCTGTTTTTATCAGGAGATACACTCTTAGTACCAATCCTAACGAAAAAATTTAGAGCTGGGGTTATTAATAATGGCTACAGAAAACAAAAATTAAATAATTGCTGGAATATATTTAAGTTTTCCAGAATAAAAGAAAATGATGGCTTCAGCTGATCTCCCCAACTACCTTCCTATGCTTCCTTTTCTTGACCAAGTTCATAAGAGAAAACCCTTCCTTAAGATGTTACATTTTCTACTTCCAACAGATCAATTAAAACAATGTAACTTTTGTGTTTGGGACTTAAGACTGTTGACCTATTTCTTATGAAATGGTGTCTGGTGTTTTTCTGGTATCTATCTTTAGGCTCTTTTATTGGTGAAAGGGATACTTGCATTATTTGATTTTTCTAACCCTTTTTCTCAAGACCCAGGAAATTATATGAAAAACTTTTATTTTTATTTTTGAGATGGGGTCTTGCTCTGTCCCCCAGGCTGGAGTACAGTGGCGCAATCTCAGCTCACCGCAACCTCCGCCTCTTGGGTTTGAGCAAGTCTTGTGCCTCAGCCTCCTGAGCAGCTGGGATTACAGGCACATGCCATCAGGCCCAGCTAATTTTTGTATTTTTAGTAGAGACAGGGTTTTGCCATGCTGGCCAGACTGGTCTCAAACTCCTGATCTCAAGTGATCGCCTGCTTCAGCCTCCCAAAGTGCTAGGATTACAGGCGTGGTAAGACTGAGGAAAGAGTGATCAGGGAGAAATTTACGTTAACAGACTATGAAACTGCAAGCCTTCCAGGCTCAGTGGTACATAACTTACTACCGGCAGAGCTGGGACTCGAACTAAGGCCTCTGACTTTTTCCTAATTTTCTTTTCACCAGCACTGGTTGGAAAAAGAATCATGTGTACAGCGCGCAGTCAGGGCCTAGGAAGTCATCTGCCGCTTGCTGCCGGCCCAGGGCCATTAGGACGGTGGTTACATTGTCATGAGAGCCTATGAGGAAGGCAAGGAACTGTCTTCAGGTTAGACACTGAGAGCTGGAAACAGGTGGGGCTACTACTGCGTTAGCAAAGACTGCCGCGGTTTTCATCTGCCAACACGGCCTCCCGGCTTTAATCTGCCGACACGGCCTCACGGCTTTAATCTGCCGACACGGCCTCACTTGGTGGTTGACAGAGGAGCAAGGCCCTGAGATTTTCTGGAATGTTAGGATATTTTCAATCCATGTGACCCACTTGTTTCCTCTAAACACACTTCTCCTTTTCTTTTCTCTGTAAGTGAATATCATTTATTTTACTGAGAGCAACAGATTTACCCAAAGATATAGCTCAGCAGCAGTATATATGAAAGGACTGTTGTCTTTGGGCATTTTTGTTATGTGTTTTGTGGCTGTCATTAAAAAATTGATGAGATCTTGGACTGTATTAGTGGAAATAGTGTCTAGAACAAGAGGAGCAGTGGTCCTGTGTCCTGGCTAAATCTAAGTTGACATATTCTGTAATTCAGTATCAGTGACAAATTTACAGAGAAGTGTTGATGAAATTGAATATAACTAGAGGAGAGCAGCTAAATAAGGGCATCACAAAGCAAGTTATGTAAGGAACTGCAGAAGGGCCTGGAGTCTTTAGCATGGAGTGGGGAAGGGTTGGGGACGGTAGGCTGCCTAGCTAAATTCAAATTTATGAAGGACTTTCAAATAAAATAATTGGATTTATTTGGTATTCCCAGACAACCTATCTGGACCAATGAATGGAAATTGTAAATTTTGGTGACTGAAGAGAAAACTTACTGAGGTCTGCCTAAAATTGAGGGCTTGTCCCAGAGCATGTCCCTTGTTATTAGAGGTGTTCAGGAGAAGCTGGACAAGAACTTGGAACAAGCTGCCTTGTGGAGAGAATGCCAGGATTGGGTGGCCTTGTCGGCTTTCCCAGATTCTGTGATACCGAAACTTACCAGTCATACTACCCAGGTTCTGGCCTCATCGGGATCAAGCATAAGAATTGCAGAAACTCTGTGGGCCAATGTTGTGGTCCAGGTTGTGCAATCTGTTAAAATTTTAAGTGTAATAGTTATTTTAAAAGTAATAAAGGCAATAGTTTCAAGACACATTAGGGCAAGTCAGGCTAAAAGCATTGCTCATAGTGCCAGGCTGTGGACTGCTAGGCACTGGATAATGGTTAACACAGGTCCCTTCCTAAGGCACTGCAGAGGAGGAGGGTGGGTGTATGCACATCAGCAGATAATTTCAGCATAATGTAATCATTCCTAAAATAAAAATCGGCATCGGGTAACATGGAAGCAAGGAGATGGAAGCACTTAGCTCAACCTAGGTGTTTTGGAAATGGTTTCCCACAGAAAATGAGGCCCAAGAATTCTAGAATGTGGTTGGGAGCTCTCTCTTCCTTCGCACAGAGGAACAGTCCGATGTGCACTAGAGGTGACCCCTTGAAGTTATTGTAATCAGTAAGAGACATGGAAAACTTGTCCCTAATGAATAAATTTCAGAAGAATAGCAACTCTTTATTTTATGTCTTTAAAAAATGTTTATCACAGTAGTTAATTCATCATCTGTATATGCCAGCAAAACTACAACTTATTTCTGTATTTTTGGAGGAGCACTACTATTATAGATCTCTTATAAATTACTGCTTGGGGTCGTTGTAAATATTTGGCCTTTTGCTCTTATAGGGCAAATGTAGAAAGAAAGATGATGTATACACTGTTGTTTATAAATTCCACTTAGCCAGAACTCATGGCTAGGTTTCTAAATGCATGTCGTTGTGGTTTTGGACAACTTGTGGGAAAGAGGAAGGATAGAAAGCACCCCTACAGCCTATCCATTTGAAGATCAGTTTCTCCTGAGAACATGATGTTTCATGGGTCATCTGGGAGATGTGCGGGGCCCTTCAGAGATGACTTTTGACTTGCCGTAGGAATTGCTGAAGCAGGTGTGTGGGGATGTCCTCTCCACCTGTGAGCACCGCCTCTCCAACATCGTTCTGAAGGAGAATGGAACAGGGAATATGGACGAAGACCTGTTGGTAAGTGACTGCTTTTCCTAAACATTCTTTACGCTTCCATTTTATCAGTGAAGTTTTGTTAAAGATGACTTTGTAATGTACACTTTAAATGCTTTTAACAAAAGGGCTGTCTTAGCCTAGAGCTTACTCTCTCTTTTTAGAAGATATTTTTAAATTGATAACCTATTCATTTGTTTCTTATATACTTATTATCGGGGGGAAACTCAATGGTATATACTTCACCTAGTTCAATCTTATGAGAAGCCTGATTTCAGTAGGGAAAACATAGTGTGTGTTGTAAGGTTGGTATAGTCAAGCTTAGAAATATAAGGTAAGAAATAATAATGTGAGTAGACTCTTTTCAGTTTGTGTGTTTGCTTTTTAAAAAATTTAACATGTCTTCTGAGCAGTTTGAACAGCAGACAGTAGAACTGGGAATAGTGCTGAGCAATTGCAAAGTAATGACTGAAATAAAGATTTGACAATTCAAAACACAGATGACCTTGGAGCCCCAAGATTGTTTTCCACGGCACCCCTGCTTTAGAAACTGTAAACAGTGCAAGAGATTCCTGTGAGCCAGGACGGGACAGTTGGCTGATTTCAGTGGCTGACTGGGGACAAGATGTATGGCAGTAATTCTGGTTCCAACATCTGACTCTGTCCAGTAAAGGAAATAATGAGCTGCTTTTTGATGCCATTCAATACAGGTCATCATTTAACCAAAACTGGCCGGTTTTCTCATATACTTAAATTAGCAGAGCACATCTTTTCTGTGTTCAGTTTCTACTTGTTAGCCTAGCTCTCCTAATTCCCAGTGATCACAGACCAAGTTTAGATTTGTTAAAAGTGAAGACTGTTGGGCCTGGGGCACTACTGTGCCTGTGTTCAGTAATAAAAAGCCTCACTGTGGGAACCTGGATGCTTAGGTAAGAGGGCCAGGGAATGTAGCACAGGCCTGGCCCAGGGTTTCCAGAGGGTCTTGCTCTTCTCATTCCTGCCCACACTAAGAAAGATGCTTACTATGGTTAGTGAGTCCTGTCCCCACCCCACTCCCCCACATTTTTTTCAACTGTTAACCGTGTCATCAAAATCTACTCTTCAGTCAAAATATATATGAAGAGGTTTTGCCCTATATACATAGTTTCATTCTTGCTTCTTTAAATAGAATTTAAATATTTTTTAATGAAGAGATAACGGTATATCAAGATTCTTTTAAACTCATATACTTTGTTATTGGCTTTCTTACCCTAGTATAAGCTTTTATTTGACATTTTACTATTCAGCATCATCCCTCCATTTGGGGCGTAAACTAAAAAAGAACAATGTTACTTAGTTGTTAAACTGAATGTTACGAATAAACACAGCGTGGCAGGTGGCAGCCATGAGTAGGTTTTGGATGGGGTCTACATGGAAAAATAATCTGGAGGGCAACTTGAAAATATGTTTCAGAATATAAAATAGCTTAATATACTCTTTACCCTGGATTTTACTTCTGAGGAAAGAGAACAGTATCTAAGGATACACAGGTGTTCACCAGAGCTGATCGAAACATTAGCACAGCGGAACAGCATCAGTGTTCATTAATACTGAAGTAGGGCAGTAAGTTATGATGACAGTCCTAGTTTTAAAATGGCATACTTACGTGGTCATTAAAGATATGTGTCTCATATATTGACATGAAATGATACCTAATATTCAAAGTAATCATTGCAGACTTCAACATACTATAATTGATAAGTGTATAAGAAAAGTAAACATAAAGCCATGTGACTATAGAAATACTTTGAAAAAGTTATACACGAAAACTGATGTCTCTGGGTGGTAGGATTATAGGTAGGTGATTCTGTATCCCAGTTTACCCAAGATAACCCTGGTGTACACCTATTTTTCACAATATAATTATTAATAGCACCCCCTTTTACTTGCAGATTTGTCTAGATTTAGGTGATAAAATTATATGGTTGTCCTAATTTTGGATGAGTTTCATTACATAGTGACTAAGTTTTTACAATAGCCATGTATTTTTATGAAACAAAAAAATAGTAACATTGTTTTAAATTTTGGGGATAAAGGAAATACTCCATTGACATGTCCTTAATCTAGCTAGAGTTCACTTTTCTTTTGCCTTATTTTTACTGTAAAACCAATTATCTTTGTAGGTGAAGTACATTTTTACATTAGGGGATATAGCCCAGCTGTGTCCAGCCAGGGTGGAGAAGCGCATCTTCCTTCTGATTCAGTCCGTCCTGGCTTCGTCTGCTGATGCTGACCATTGTAAGGCATTTGAAATCATACTCTGTGCCATGCATGCCGGTTCAAGGTTCTGTCAGTGACTTTCTCTCCCTTCCTTGCAGTACCATCATCTCAAGGCAGCAGTGATGCCCCAGCATCTCAGCCACCCTCCCAGGTCAGAAGTTCTGTCATGCCCTCTGTGATTAGAGCACATGCTATCATTACCTTAGGTAAGAAAAACGTGGGAGACTAGGGCTTGACATCAAGTTCTGTGTGTAGCTGTTGTCTTAAGTAAGCGCAGCCATGGGAATGTGTCGGGGCTGCCGAGCCTGTCTGTGTCTGCTCTCGGCCCATATGCTTCCTAGAGGTGGCTCTGATGTGAGTGCTGAGCTCTGCCTAACCACGTGCTGGTCATGAGAGCCCTCAGGCTGACAGCGCCCCAAGACGGTAAGACTCAGGCACTCTCTAGAGGGTCTAGAGGGAGCTTTTGTTTTCTAGTACGATTATGTTAATTTATTACAATTATCCCTGCTTCTGTAATTTTTTTCAGTAGCTTCACTTGACTTTAATACTCCTGTAATTTTTTTATACTCATAATGCAGCACCACGAAGTCTATTCATCAAGAACTGCCGGATGCTGCACTGAGTTCTGGAAATGAAGAAATAAATTTTCCATAAAAGGAAATGGTTTATTTAATACTTTCCAGAACTGGGTAGATGACTATTTACATATTTCTCCATGAACTCAAACTCTTTTTAATCTTGAAAACACTGACCTCTATGCTGGGAATTTTTTTTTTCCCTTTAGTGTGAGTGTATATTTTATGCTACGTAAGTTATTAATTTTTTTGTAATATTAATTTTCAAATACCTAAGAATTGCAAAACATTTCCCAGGCACAAAAGAAACCTACAAGCAAAACTCAGCAGGCTTTTCAACTGTGAACAAGAAAGAAAGGGGACATGCATTCTTTCCTATTTACCTAGCTCAGATTTCAAATTCAGCATGGGGTATTTAGCATTTGTAGAGGATATGTATAATCAGGAGTAAAATGTTTCATCTCTCAGGCTTTGCTGATCATTCTCCAGGTAAGTGGATAACTGCGAAATTCAAATGTTGACTTTAAAAGGAAGATGATTTTATTAGTGTAAAGGAACATCCCATAGTATATAACTCCTGGGGGAGTTTATTTCTCCTTAAGGTATTTTTATTCGAATATTCAAGATGGGTCTGTCTGCCTTTAGTTTTTTGTTGTTTGTGATTGTGGGCATGATATTTTAACTTTGATTAAATAGAAGCCATTAGCAAGATGTATCTGGAGAAAATTCAGGAATGGAATTAGGATTTAGAATACAGTTGAGACATCTTCCTGTCTTCTGTGCCAGGTAAGTTGTGCTTACAGCATGAGGATCTGGCAAAGAAGAGCATCCCAGCCCTGGTGCGAGAGCTCGAGGTGTGTGAGGACGTGGCTGTCCGCAACAACGTCATCATTGTGATGTGCGATCTTTGCATTCGCTACACCATCATGGTGGACAAGTATATTCCCAACATCTCCATGTGTCTGAAGGATTCTGACCCATTCATCCGGAAGCAGACACTCATCTTGCTTACCAATCTCTTGCAGGTGCGTAGGAGGGTTCAACCTGTCCTTTCCCCTCCACCATGGCTTCTGGTTTAAGGGAATATTTGAGTAGCATAGGAAGGGTGCTTGCTTTGTAGTAGAATCCAAAAATAGTTGTCTCATCTCTGGTCTGGAGTATTGCTCTTCTGATGTTCAGCACAACCTTTTATAAACAGTGTTACTTGTGAATGTTCATTTTGGGACTTTGTTCAGACATCCTGTCAAGCAGCGTGAAGTTTCATTTTGAAAATAAGTACCATGTAGAGAAAAGCACATTCAGTGGACAGGTAGTTCTAGTTTGAATTCTGTTATTCTTTTTTAACTTGGACAAGTCCACATTTCTGAGATCTAACTTCTTCCTTTGTAAAATGGGGATCATGGTGTTTGCGCTGGGCTCTGCGAGTCTGGTGGGGTGTTTCCGTGTGCAGAAGAACGTAGTAAACTATAGAGCTCTTCAGAGCATTAAATATTGTTACACACTTTGAGAGTCTGTGTTTGGCCTATAATGGGGAGAACATAATACTTGATTTTTGAAGGGAAGGCCTTTCACTTAGGTTGTATGTCTGCCCTGGTATGTTCTGTGTGCTCATCTTTTCATATATTACGAACTGTATTATATAGAGAGGGTGGCACCATCCCTCTAATGCCACGTGCTTTGAGCCATTTTTCTCCTGTGGTAGAAAAGGTGACGTTCTGTGCATGTACTTCTCCGCACTACATTCCAACGGTTTGGTGGTAGAAAGGTGACGTTCTGTGCGTGTACTTCTCCGCTTCTGTGTGCTCATCTTTTCACATATTACGAACTGTATTATATAGAGAGGGTGGCACCATCCCTCTAATGCCATCGTGCTTTGGAGCCATTTTTCTCCTGTGGTAGAAAAGGTGACGCTCTGTGCATGTACTTCTCCGCACTACATTCCAACGGTTTGGTGGTAGAAAGGTGACGCTCTGCGCGTACTTCTCCGCACTGCATTCCGACAGTTTGGTGGTAGAAAGGTGACGTTCTGTGCGTGTACTTCTCCGCACTGCATTCCGACGGTTTGCAGAAAGGTGACGTTTGTGCGTGTACTTCTACACTGCATTCCGACGGTTTGGTGTAGAAAGGTGACGTGCTCTGTACGTGTACTTCCACTGCATTCCGACGGTTTGGTGGTGAAAGGTGGGCGCTCTGTGCGTGTGCTTCGCACTGCATTCCGACGGTTTGCAGGGTAGAAAGGTGACGTTTGTGCGTGTACTTCTCCGCACTGCATTCCGACGGTTTGGTGGTAGAAAGGTGACGTTCTGTGCGTGTACTTCTCCGCATTGCATTCGACGGCTCTGTGGTAGAAAGGTGGACGTTTGTAAGGGGGTGGTAATTTCTCCCCACTGCATTCCGACGGTTTGGTGGTAGAAAGGTGACGTTTCCAGGTGTACTTCTCCGCACTGCATTCGGCGGTTTCAGGTAGAAAGGTGGGCGCTCTGTGCGTACTTCTCCGGCACTGCATTCCGACGGTTTGGTGGTAGAAAGGTGGCGTTCTGTGCGCAGTACTTCCTCCGCACTGCATTCCGGTTTGCCTATAGAAAGGTGGTTTGTGCGTACTTCTCCGCACTGCATTCCGACGGCTCTGTGGTAGAAAGGTGGCGTCTCTGTGTGTGGTACTTCTCCTACTGCATTCCGACGGTTTGGTGGTAGAAAGGTGGTTTGTGCGTGTACTTCTCCGCACTGCATTCCGACGGTTTGGTGGTAGAAAGGCGGGCGTTCTGTGCGTGTGGGCTTCTCCGCACTGCATTCCGACGGTTTGGTGGTAGAAAGGTGGCGTTTGCAGTGGCAGGTGTACTTCTCCGCACTGCATTCCGACGGTTTGGTGGTAGAAAGGTGGCGTTCTGTGCGTGTGGCTTCTCCGCACTGCATTCGACGGTTTCGGTGGTAGAAAGGTGGCGTTTGTGCGTGTACTTCTCCGCACTGCATTCGACGGTTTGGTGGTAGAAAGGTGGCGTTTGTGCTATAGAAATTCTCCGCACTGCATTCCGCACGGTTTGGTGGTAGAAAGGTGGCGCTCTGTGCGTGTACTTCTCCGCACTGCATTCCGACGGTTTGGTGGTAGAAAGGTGGACGCTCTGTGCAGGTACTTCTCCGCACTGCATTCCGACGGTTTGGAAGCGTGTCCCTGTGCACTGAGCCAGTGTGCCGGGGACAGACCGCATGGTGGGGGGAGTGTGGCTGGGAACAATGAGGCTTGCCCATGATGACACACTCTGAAACATGCCGACTTTTCTCTGTACAGGAGGAATTTGTGAAATGGAAGGGCTCCCTGTTCTTTCGATTTGTCAGCACTCTGATAGATTCACACCCAGACATTGCCAGGTAAATCTTTTCCTCAGGTTAGACACCTGAACAGTTTACCTCATTTCTGATGTATGCTGGATTTCTTTTTTTTTTCCAGATTGGTTTAGAGTTAAGTAGGATTTAGTGAGCTTTCGGTGGGTGCCAGAAAATTTAACAGGTTTTTAAGATACTAAGCAATATAACAAACCTTTATTTTGCACACAAGTTTAAAAGAAAATGGTTCGATTCATCATTGGATCATCTCAGCACTGACTGCACTTGCTGACAGTTTGCTGTTCCTGAAGGAGCATGAAGAATGTCATATGCTTGTTGTATTACACTGTATAGAGGAGCAGTCACTAGAAATTCACTGTTAATTTCTAGGCAAAAAAAAGTTAATTTTGATAAAAAGCTGAGACTTTTAAGTGCAGAAATTTTAAGGAAGAAACTAGGAATTAAGATGAAATTGCACAGTGTGGAATCAAGTGTACAGATGACAAGACTCCTTGGAAATGGGCAGTTCTTCAGACTTGTATAGCGTGAGGGAGTGGCTTTGGCAATTATTAATTTCTATCATTGCATCATTTTTTTAAAGATTTATTTTCAAGGGGCTGAGAAATGGCCTGATAGAATTTGCTGCCTTAGAGTTTGTTGTAACTAATTCTTTTTAAAGCAAGTCTGCAATCGGAACGTAGAATGTTGGATGCCGATGCCGTGGCAAAAGCCCCACAGTGGGGAAGAGGTCTTTATAGAGCTCATTAACTATAAATGGCTGGTAACAGTGGGTCTCTCTGGATGTAAATATAGCTACCAATAATTTAGTCTGAGTTCCGTGGAAGTTTCTGCTCAGTTTTCTTTAGGTGTAATTTTCCAAGGAAGGGGAACATTTCACGTAACAAAAGCAAAAAGTTAAGGCTGTCACCTTTTTTTTAGATAGCTTCGCACACCCTCTTACCTTTACAGCGTGTCCACTCTACTGACTCTGAGGGCTTTCTACACAGTGCATGGCCCAGGAGGAGGTGTGATCAGACAGGCTGGGAATGCTGTCAGGTGATGCACCTGGGAGGTAAAAGCAGCTACTTAACCTGCATTTCCTCATTTTTCCCCACTGTTGTTAGCTCCTGTACGTGTATGTGAAAAAGAGCATTGATAATGAGTAAACTATATGCAGGATTTGTACATATGGGTGTTCAGATCATCAATCAAATGAAAAGCATAGATACACTTTATAGTGGAGTAAGATTACCAGGGCCTCTTCTAGCATTTTAATACTTCCCCCTTAATCTTTCCCTTTATGTCTGCATTCTGGGTTTGTTGAAACCATGGTTCAAATTAGATTTTCATGATTTTCATGATTTTCAGCTTTGAAAAGCTGATGACTACATTTGCTAACTATAATTTAAGTTAGTCTGTTCTCTGAAATTTTTCCTTTTATTTTTATTTGACGTGTAATAATTATACATATTTATGGGATAGAGAGTGGTATTTTGATATATGTATAGAACATGTAATGATCAAATCGGGGTAATTAGCATAACCATCACCTCAAACATTTATCATTTCTTTGTGTTGGGAACTTTCAGAATCCTCTCTCCTAGCTTTTTGAAAATAGACAGTAAATTATTGTTAACTATATTCACCCTACGGTGCTGTTGAGCAGTTTAACATACTCCTCCTGTAATTTTATATTTGTTAACCAGCCTTTCCGTACCCTTCCTAGCTTCTAATAACCACAATTCTACTCTCTGCTTCTCTGACCCTACCTTTTTTAAACTCTTGCATGTGAGTGAGAATATGTGGTATATATATATATCTTTCTGTGCCTGACTTTTGATTTTTAGGCCAAAGGCTATGCCCAGGCTGGAGTGCAATGGAGCAATCACGGCTCACTGCAGCCTCAGTCTCCCAAGTTCACGTGACCCTCCCACCTCATCCTCCCAAATAGTTAGCTAATTTTTTATTTTTTGTAGAGTTAGGTTCTCACTGTGTTGCTCCTGAGCTCAAGCAATCTTCTCGCCTCAGCCTCCCAAAGCGCTGGGATTAGGCATGAGCCACCACCCCGGCCTGTATGACGTTTTTAATTGCTCATATAAACCCCAAATTTGGAGGCTACAAAATTCTATGATCTGTTTTCCTGTCTGCCCAATAGCTGGTGGCCTTGTAATCACAGGGCGACAGTCAAGTAATAAACAGATTATTTCAGTTTAACTGGGCACTGCCACAGGAATACAGAGAGGCAGGGCCAGAAGCTCAAGGCAGGACAGCGACTCAAATAATGGGCCATTGAGATAGAAAAGGGGGCAACAGGCCGGGCGCGGTGGCTCACGCCTGTAATCCCAGCACTTTGGGAGGCCGAGATGGGCGGATCACGAGGTCAGGAGATCGAGACCATCCTGACTAACACGGTGAAACCCCGTCTCTACTAAAAATACAAAAATTAGCCGGGCGCGGTGGCGGGCACCTGTAGTCCCAGCCACACGGGAGGCTGAGGCAGGAGAATGGCGTGAACCCGGGAGGCGGAGCTTGCAGTGAGTGGAGATTGCGCCACCACACTCCAGCCTGGGCGACAGAGCGAGACTCCGTCTCAAAAAAAAAAAAAAAAAAAAAAAAAAAGAAAAGAAAAAAGAAAAGGGGGCAACAACAAGGATGGCCTGGTTTGGGAGAAAAGGAAGCAAGCACTCGACTGTCTGGAGGGCTTAGTGAAGCCATGGAACGATCGGAATGGGGTGAGGGAGTCAGGAGCCAGATCACTGGAAGGATCAGCAGGGCAGTCATGAGTGGACTCTTTGATCTCCAGTGTGGCAACAGGGTCCAGGGTGTGGCTGCACTGGTGACCCCGGGTCCAGATGGGATGCTCACTGGAAGCAGTGAAGTCAGGAAAGCAGAAAGTTGGGGCATTCAGTAGCTCACCTGCATGGGGAGTTCTACGGGGATTTGGAATGGAGAGGAAGACTGGGAACCAGGTAGCAGAGCACAAACAGCAGATGGCGGGAGCACCACAGGGAGGCGGGAGCACCACAGGGAGGCAGGAGCACCACAGGGAGGCAGGAGCACCACAGGGAGGCGGGAGCACCACAGGGAGGCAGGAGCACCACAGGGAGGCGGAGGTGGAGGCCGTCTGCAGGTGCCACAGCAGCCTGTGTGCGTCTTAACTGGCAGCCAGCCCACACTCCCCGCACTTCACTGGGCCCACTCCTAGTTGTCTTCCAGTGTCAGAGCACTTTTGGCAACGCATTATTTGGTCCACACGCTATGTATAGGCTTCCTGAGGGGCATGAGTTTGGTTGTTATTCCCCATCCCTAGCACCTGAAAAGGAACTGAAACCAAGCAGACATGCGGTGAACATTGGGTGGGTGAACATTGGGTGGGTGAAGGCAGGAAGGCACTGGGTGTCCGGGAAATGTGCTCCTCATCCTCTGACTGAGGGATGAAGCAGCCTCCCCTTGGGAGGGCCCAGAGAGAATTGGTGTGCTTGGAGGACAGCCGGCCCACGTTTATAAAGAGGAAGCATAGGGAGTACCCTGAGAGTCGGCTGTGAAGGGTAGGGCCTGATTCACTGTGGAACCTGGAGTGTAGAGTACATGGAGGAAGGAAGCAGCAACTCAGGGATGACCAGGGTCTAGACAGACCACCATAGGCGCTTGGATTTGGGGTGGTGGCCAGGGAGAACTAGGGTGTAGGAAATACTGCTTCGAGCCTCAAGAAGAATTCTGGTACAAATGGGTCTGAGCCCCGGTCCTAACCTGAGCTAGACACGTGTTGTAGGCCAGGTCAGGAACATGAGTTCAGCATGAACTCATGAGTCTGCCTTTATTGAGCAGACACCCTGCTTCAGAATGGCATTCAGCTCATGAAGAAATCTGAAGTCAGATTTTTATGTTTCCTACTAAAGCTGAAAACAGAAGTGGACCACACGGCTCTTACCTTGTGGCCTTTTGGGCTGTTTGAATATCCTGGATTTTGATTCTTAGTAAGAGAGTAATAACTTCTTTTTACAAGGCTGTAATAAGGTAATCACTCAGATTTAGCTGGTCTTCCCTTTGTGTTCCATATAATTCATGCAGCACGTGCTGTGTGAAATCCCTAGACCGCATCCCTGAGTTGTTGGTGTGGGTATGTGTGTTCTTAGTGATTGTCGTCCTGAGGGCTGGGGAGAGGATGCTGACCGAACTCCCAGCTTACTAAGATTTGTTGAGAGTCCTGGAGGTTTCCTAATCCACATACCTGGAGAGTGCTGTCTCTTGTCACTCTAAAGGAATGTTCTAGGAAGCATTACTTGTAATGTTAATTTCTCCTAACTTTTCAGCAGACAAACAGGAAACAAAATAGTCCCTCTTCTCCAGTTAGGAAGCTTGCAGGATCTGTGCATCTTAATCTAATCAAGACTGAAACTTGCCATTTTAATAAAGTCCCAGTGAATACAGCAGCCAAGATGAGTTGTGGATATCACACATTGGCTGTGGCTTCCAGTTTCTCTTGCTGGAAAGCTCTGTGACTACATTATCAGCCCTGAGCGTGTGAATCCTGGCATGGTTTTATGTTGCTATGGAATTTATTTGTATAGATGGTTCAGCAAGTTTTTCACTAGGGCTTAAACTCCACAGTATCTTGCCTATTGGTCACCTCCACCCACATGTATTCTTGACCTAAACTGAGTCGATTGGCATTGACATCAAGTCAAAACTCAGAGTGCACCCTCTTCTTGTGGAAGATTTGCTGATTCTATCAGGCTTTACATTTTCGTATATGTGACTTCATTTCTGAGGAGGAAGTTCGCATAATGTAGAAACTGCCATGCCAGAGTGGATTAACTATAATAAAATGCCACAGAAGATAAATTCTTGTTTGTTCAGTGGTTTTTTCATTCCTGTCACAGATGGTTTGCCAAAGTAACCCATGTTTAGAAAGAACTTCATCTGATGCTATGACCTTTGCCTTTCAAACATGGGTCATTAAACAACATAATTTGTACAAAACATAACTGACTACTCTTAGATCAGACAGGTGCTTCTAGTTGTCCTTAATTGAATTTTGCCTCATGGAATTCTCATTATTAAATACAGTTTTATTTATTTTGTTTTCATATTTCTAGGTCAAGCTGCTCCCTTGTTTCCTAGGTGAATAGTCAAAGTGTAATTATCTACAGTGGAATTTTTATCTAGGCTTACTTCCATCATGATTTCTCATCTACCTTCTCTGATTTTTAATTGATATGTGTGCTGTGAACACAAACTGATTTGAATTTTGGCATAAGGAGCACCACTGGGGAAAGGAGAGGTCAGTCTCCTGGACAGTCTTTGATGCTGCTCCTCTCCCAAGGAGAGCTGACTGGTGCTCCTGTGTGGGTGGAAATTGCATTTGAGCTCTGAAATTCAATTAAAACACTGGCCTTGACAGTGTGAGTGGATCACAGTGAGCCCTGCACCATGTTAGTTTAACCCCTGAGCAAAAATCAGTGCTTTGGCGTTCTGTCACCTACTTTCGTGATGAACAGAAACTCTCTGGTGGCCTGTAGTCAAACAGTTTGCCTGTTTACATCAGGCATTGGAAATCTTCATTTTGGTGGGGTCCTAGTGGCGTCTGTGTGCCATGTGCAGCATTGCACAGATGTATTGAGGGCGTGGGTGGAAGGAGAGTGCCCAGGGCTTGCTGGTGATTTCAAAGCGCATTGAGTCAGTTGCTCTGCAGAGGAAACTTGTCTTCCTGATCCAAACTGTGAAGCTCTTGTCATTAATCCTTATTCTTGAAATAAGTTCCAGTTACTAAAATTGTTTTTTGTTCATAATTGTGGGCAACAAACTTGAAGCTGGGAGGTGAATGACCGTTGTCATTGCATCAGTCCTGTAAGACCAGTGGCCTCTCATTGCAGAAGCAGCGTTGGAGTTAAGTTGGTTGATTGCTTTCCCCACTTGAACTGCAGCTGGATGACAACACCTTCTGTTACGTTTGAAGGGAAACCTGGGGGAAAAAATACGCTCGGATTAGAAAGCAAGCCGTGGAGCAAGGACAGACCAAATCGCGGAATTTCTGTCTTCTTCGGGTCCGAGGGAGCTGTGTGTTGGGATAAATTTTGAATCCCTTCGCTTATGTACAGCTATCTTCTGCTCAGCAGAGTTCTTGGTGTATTCAGAGACTGTTGGTGTGTAGCAAACGGGTCTCCCTCTTTGTTTCTCTCACCTTTGCAGCTTCGGGGAGTTTTGCCTGGCTCACCTGTTACTGAAGAGGAACCCTGTCATGTTCTTCCAGCACTTCATTGAGTGTATTTTTCACTTCAATAACTATGAGAAGCATGAGAAGTATAACAAGTTTCCCCAGTCCGAGAGGTCAGTGAAGCAGCTAAGGCTGTCTCCTTGTATCTGGGTAAGAGCTGGGGGAATCTGGGGAAGGTTTGGCTCTTTGCATATAGTGGTTGGACACAGACCCTGCTCCAGGTCTTTACTGTGGCCTGGCAGGATGGCGTAAGAAAATGCAGTCGTGAGAATCGCTTCCTAAGGGCAGTGCCTGCGATGAGCACTGGGATCTCTGTAGTGCACTTGAGTCTTTGGTATACAGCTTTTAGGATGCAGTTAAAATGCAGTGTTAAGTCCCTTACACCCGTGCCCACGTGATGCAGTAAAATTTTCCTATTCTGCCACAGAGAGAAGCGGCTGTTTTCATTGAAGGGAAAGTCAAACAAAGAGAGACGAATGAAAATCTACAAATTTCTTTTAGAGCACTTCACAGATGAACAGCGATTCAACATCACTTCCAAAATCTGCCTTAGTATTTTGGGTAAGCCCAGTGTGTGTGGGAGAAAATGTGTGTGTTTGCAAATGAAATGCTCTGTTGATAACGGCCCAGCAGGCCTCTAGTAAGGGAGACCCTGGCACTGCAGGAAGACCTCTTTCATCTTGTCCTTCTCTGGCATCAGCTGTGCCCCAGGCAGAACACCCTTGCAAGACCCCCTGACAGCCTCAGACAGCCCCCCAGTTGTGTGAATTACACCTCTTCTCTGGGCCAGAGCATTTCACAGAAGCTCACATTTCTCTCTCTCTCTCTCAGCGTGCTTCGCTGATGGCATCCTACCCCTGGACCTGGATGCCAGTGAGTTACTCTCAGACACATTCGAGGTCCTCAGCTCAAAAGAGATCAAGCTTTTGGCAATGAGATCTAAACCAGACAAGGACCTCCTTATGGAAGAAGATGACATGGCCTTGGCAAATGTAGTCATGCAGGAAGCTCAGAAGAAGCTCATCTCACAAGTGAGTGTGTTGCTCCCCTAAGATCTCACGAGTGTGCCCCTCCCCCAAGCTCATCTCACAAGTGAGTGTGCAGTTCTTCCTAAGCTCATCTCACAAGTGAGGGCACCCCTTCCCCCAAGCTCATCTCACAAGTGTCAGCTCCCCTAAGCTCATCTCAAGTGAATGCACCCCTTCCCCTAAGCTCATCTTACAAGTGAATGTGCTCCTTCCCCTAAGCTCATCTCACAAGTGTGCTCCTTCCCCTAAGCTCATCTCACAAGTGAGTGCGCCCTTCCCTGCAAGCTCATCTGACAAGTGAGTGTGCCCCTCCACCTAAGCTCATGTCACAAGTGAGTGTGCAACTCCCGCTAAGCTAATGTCACGAGTGTGCTGCTCCCCTTAAGCTCATGTCACAAGTGAGTGTGCCACTTCCCTAAGCTCATCTCACAAGTGATCATGCTGCTCCAAGCTCATCTCACAAGTGAGTGTGCTGCTCCCCTAAGCTTGTCTCACAAGTGTGCCACTCCCCCAAGCTCATCTCACAAGTGAGTGTGCAGCTCCACCTCAGCTCATCTCACAAGTGAGTGTGCTGCTCCCCTCAGCTAATCTCACGAGTGCACCCCTCCCCCTAAACTCGTCTCATTAGTGTGCAGCTCCCCCAAGTTCACCTCACAAGTGATTGCGCCCCTCCCCCTAAGCTCATCGCACAATTGAGTGTGCCACTCCCCTAAGCTCATCTCAAAAGTGAGCATGCCCCTCCCACTAAGCTTATCTCACAAGTGTGTGCAGCTCCCCTAAGCTCATCTCACAAGTGGGTGTGCAGCTTCCCCTAAGCTCATCTCACAAGTGGGCATGCCACTCCCCTAAGCTCATTTCACAAGTAATGTGCCCCTCCCCCTAAGCTCATCTCATAAGTGAGTGTGCAGCTCTCCCTAAGCTTGTGTCACAAGTGAGTATGCAGCTCCCTCAAGCTCATGTCACAAGTGAGTGTGCAGCTCCCCTAAGGTCATTTCATGAGTGTGAAGTTCCCCTAAGTTCATTTCACAAGTGAGTGTGCAGCTCTCTAAATTCATGTCACAAGTGAGTGTACAGCTTCCCTAAGCTCATTTCACAAGTGACTGTCCCACTCTTCCCACCATCTACTGGCTTCCCTGTTGTCCCTGGAATCTTGGTGCTATGCTCTAGTGCTGACTTCTTTCTTACTGGTGGCTTTAACTCTTGCCAAGTGGTGACAATTCTCAAATCTGTCTTGTGCTCCAGCATTTCTCACGAGCCTGAGCTCAGGTCCGCCTGCTGCCAGGACGTGCTCCAGGTGTCTCTGACTTACTCTGTCAAAACTCACTCAGTCATCTCTTCTTTCTGCTCTTCATCTCCTCTCTCCCACAGTTTATGGTGCTCCTGCAGACTGGAGTCTGGTGTGCCAGGCTGAGGCTTTTGTGGCAGGAAGTATAGAATTTGGATCTGAATGACTTTGGGGCAGAGCTTGGCTGCCGCAGGCCTCTGCAGGCCTGTGTGTTTCTGTCCTAGCCTGGATTGCCAATGTGTATTTCCCACCTGGCCCCTGAAGGCCTTTGACCCCAAGGATATAGACTCTGATAATATCTTGCCACAAGATGCTGCCCTGTTTTCTCTTACCAGTCTATCTCTGTAGTTCTGACCTTATTTAAGCTTATCCTATTTCCATGGTTTCCTTACCACCCTTTCTGTTTCTGGTTTCTTTCTGTCACAGGCCACGTCCCAACTTGCTGCCAGAGCAGTCTTCTTTTTTTTGAGACAGAGTCTCCCTCTGATGCCCGGGCTGGAGTGCAGTGGCACAGTCTCAGCTCACTGCAAGCTCCGCTTCCTGGGTTCACGCCATTCACCTGCCTGAGCCTCCCGAGTAGCTGGGACTGGAGGCCCCTGCCATTCTGCCTGGCTAATTTTTATTTTTATTTTTATCTTTTTTTTTTTTTTTTTTTTTTTTGAGACAGAGTCTCGCTCTGTTGCCCAGGCTGGAGTGCAGTGGCGTGCTCTCCACTCACTGCAAGCTCTGCACCCGGATTCATGCCATTCTTCTGCCTCAGCTTCCCGAATAGCTGGGACTACAGGCACCTGCCACCACGCCTGGCTAATTTTTTTGTATTTTTAGTAGAGATGGGGTTTCACAGTGTTCGCCAGGATGGTCTCAATCTCCTGACCTCGTGATCCGCCCACCTCGGCCTCCCAAAGTGCTGGGATTACAGGTGTGAGCCCCTGTGCCTGGCCCAGCAGTCTTTCTTAAGTACAAATTTGATCATTTTATTCTATCTGAAACAGACTAAAGGCAGGTTGACTGTGAGGGGTGGCAGGAAGCTTTTGGGTGATAGATGGTGAGTGGTCTGTGGTGCTGTTTATTCCATATAGACTTTTGTCAAAGCTCATGGAACTGTTTGTTTAAAATAGGTAAATTTATTACATATGTTATACTTCACTAGTGGAATTTTAAAAAACTATGCTGGTGGCTTCCTATCATCTTCTGAATAAACCCTCATTCTTCTTTTTCAAGGTGAACAGAACTTCTGATGTGCCTTCCACCTTTCCCATACCTCCCTCCGTCTTCACCTCCAACCTCGCCACTTCAAATTGCCATCTGCACCTCAGTTGCAAGCTGCACCCTGCTCCTGTGCTCTTGCCTCGGGGTCTGATGTCTACAGCGCCCTCACCCACCCATCCTCCCTTCTCCATACATCCTCAGGACCATCCATCAGATGGCCATGCACTCCTTAGGCATCCCATCTCCGTACCTAAATTCCCTAACAGCCTGCCACTTAACACCTCTTCCCTTGAGACATGCACTGTCTAGAAGCGGCTGGAGGGCAGGGATGCTTGGCTTCATTTTGCATCCCCAGAGGGTTAGCTCTTTCCCTGAACAGAGAAAGTGCTGATAATACCTGTCAAGTGAATGCATGGAAGCCGCTTCTTAAGACTGTTCCTGAACATAAGATCTGCTCACATCTGGGTTTATTAAATTGCTTATTTCTCTACCTGTTGTCCTCCTGTTTCAGGAACTCTGATAAGACTTTATAGAAATGAGTGGTTTACAAGGAAGAAACATATACTAGTGACTTTAAATGAGAAGGAAAAGAGTACTTTCAGCTTCAGGAGGATAAATCTTGCGTATGTGGGCTACTATAGTGCTTTTTTTTTTAATTTAAAGAGATTGACTGCAGAATATTTGTGGTTAGTGATCAAGGTAAAGTGTGAAGACTTGGTCAAATCAGTTACTATATATATAAATTCATGGTATTTTGTAGATGTGTACAGACAGCGAGAGACAGCTGACTGTCTTTATGCTTCGCCATTTTTAGACCATTGTCCCTTCACCAGCAGGAATACGAAGTGTCCCTCTGGGCAGCCAGAGCCAGCTGACCTCTGTTCCAGGGGAGGGTGTTGAATTGAGGACTGAATGTGGAGCCAGAGCCAAGGTCCCTCAGGGTCTTCTGTGGAGATTTGGGGCTTTTGTCAAAAGCTACTCAATGTGTTTCTAAATTCTTTTTCCCCATTTAGAATATATGAGTAGTATTTGTCCCCACCCTATCTTACAAAGCCTTTGGAGTGTTTTGAGGTAATGCTTACAGAGTCTCCCAGAGAAAAGCAGAGGTCCTCTGCATCTCCAGGATCATAATGAAAAGCAAAAATAAACTTACATAGTGTGCTAGGGTGGCTCTACTCAAAGAACTAGATCAAGGAGAGGCCTTTGTCTTTCAGAAGTTCATACATCTAAAACATGTCTTTGTGTTACCAGGTTCAGAAGAGAAATTTCATAGAAAATATTATTCCAATTATCATCTCCCTGAAGACTGTGCTGGAGAAAAATAAGATCCCAGCTTTGCGGGAACTCATGCAGTATCTCCGGGTAAGGGTGGAGCCTGTGCTTTTGTGGTGGTTGTCCTCCTACCAGTTCATTACTTAGGATCTTCTGCCAGTTATGACGGTGTAGGCAATCAGTGAATGATTAGAACCCCAAATTCTGCAAACCCAGCATTACCTTGGTAACTGCTGTGGAGCTAGGGGTTGGCTGTGGGTTCCACCAAAGCCGTTCCTTCTCCTGGATGTACAGCCAGGGCTGTGAAGAGCCGGCCACTGTGCCAAGCAAGTCTTCCCTTGATGGAGTTCGAGTCCATCTGGAGAACTTTCCCAGCTGGGGTCCAGAACACAGTCATCTCTGTTCATGCTGCTGGGGGGTAAGGTGAAAGTGAGTCTTCGGGTTGGATTTCAGGGTGCTTACCTTCTGCACTGACTCAGATTCACAAGGTCAGGAAATAACTGCCCTGCAGGAGTTGCCTTGGGAGCTGCCGTCACCGGGTTGAATTCTTTGTCAAGCAAGGGGACCATGAGGAGCTCAGTCTGAACAAACCCAGGATGTGTTGACTTGCAGGGCAGACCTAAGTGGGGCCTCAGATCTTTCTGGCAAAATCAAGAAATAAATGCAACGTAGTTTTTATTTAATTCAGCAGTTATATCTCTGTAAAAAATGCTACAATTTTTTTTCCACTAAAGGCCTCAATAAAAGTTACACTGAATATACATTTTCAAATAGTTTTTATACTAGGAAGCTAAGGTAGGAAAGATAGTCTCATTGTATGATAAAAATAAAAACTTCCAAGTATTCTTGTATTTATTGCCCTGCTTTAGACCCTAGAAAGGAAAAAAAAAAAAAGAAAAAAAAGCTTAGATCCTACATAGACTACTTAAACACTTAAGAAAAATAAGTCTTCCTCCTGCTTGTGAGCTCACACTCAGAGGATGGCCACACGCTGCTTGTTGTCAGCAGCTTCAGGGAGTCTCTTCACTGGCCTGTGGAACCCACTCCTAGTGGCAGCTGGAAGAGTGCATGGATTCCTTCTCTTTGTTGAGACTTCCCTCCTAGTTGGAACTGCAGTGTCTTTTTCTCCCTGTTCCTGTTAGGTGGAATGGTTCTTTCTCTTAGCAAAGTGGTCTTGCTCCTGGCAGCCCTCTTTAAGACCTAAGAATGTTCTTCCCTAGGTATGAGAAAAGGTTTTCTGTAAAATCTTCAGAAGACACAAAGATGGGATTTGAACCTTAGTTGTAATCCCCTGAGAGCCAATGGGGAGGCTAATGTAGACAGAGGAGCAGCTTTTAGATCCATGGCATCCTGGGACTTGCTCCAGAGGCCGTGTCTGAGCATGTCTTTCTCCCACTGGGAACCTGGGAGAGATCGCCCATTAACTGCAGACGGCCAGGATGCTTCCTGAGAAAGTGAGCTGTTGTTACTCACACATTTACCTGCTCGTGTGGCCAGTGGTGTTTGCTCCAAATGTACCACTGTACTGTTAGTCACTGGAATGGAAATCGTCTGCTTTCAGTAATGTCAGTCTCACTGTTCCTATTATTATTTATCAAGTCATGTTGGGGGGCTTTTTTCTCTTTTAACTTTTATTTTACGTTCAGGGGTACATGTGCAGGATGTGCAGGTTTGTAACGTAGGCAAAGGTGTGTCCTGGGGGTTTAGGGCTTACTTTTTTATTCAAGAAAACATTAAAGGGTGCTCCTGGGTCTGTTTTAGGAGGTGATGCAGGATTACCGAGATGAGGTCAAGGACTTCTTTGCAGTTGACAAACAGCTGGCATCAGAGCTTGAGTATGACATGAAGAAGTACCAGGAACAGCTGGCTCAGGAGCAAGAGCTGGCAAAACATGCAGATGTGACTGGGACGGCTGGAGGTGCCGAGGCGGCACCTGTGGTACAGGTAGGTGTGGGGCCCGCTGTGCTGTGACCAGGCAGTCCAGTCTGCTCTCTGCTACCAGTCTGTTGTCTAGCACCTCTCAAAATCTCCGTCATCAGAGGTTAGTCAGCCCAAAGGCCTTGAGAGTGCTGCTTGTTGGCTGCTCCTTTGTGCCTTTCTGTCTGTGATGGATTTACTGTGCTCCAGACCTCCCTTCCACGAGGATGTGGTGCAGGAAGCGAGCTGGCAGCAGCAGTGGCTGGTGACTATAGATCCTAGGTCTGCCAGGGTGTGTCAGTGTGTTTGCATCTTCCCCCAGCACGCCCTCTTGAGAGCAGACTGGCCCATGGCCATTTCTAGGAACAGCTGCTGCTCACTGTCCTGAGGAATGCAGGCAGATCTCTTGTAGGAAAGACCAGTGAGCACAAAGTAGCGTACTCCTTTTTCCCTTCTGTCATGCCACAGCTTCTACAAGTGGCAGCTTTCTCACAGTATTCTGTTTCTGAAAAGGAAATTCAGCTTACCCAGGTTGATAATCTAGTATGTGAAGATTGTATTCCAATAAAAGTGTTAAAATGGAGAAAGGGAACGGCTTGTACCCTGCTGGTAGGGATGGAAAATAGAACAGCTACTATGGAGAACAGTATAGAGGTTCCTAAAAAACTAAAAGTAGAGCTACCATATGAGCCAGCAGCCTCGCTGCCGACTGTATAGTCAAAAGAAAGGAAATGAGGATGTCGAAGACATACCTGCACTCCCATGTTGATGGCAGCACTGTTCAAAATAGCAAAACGTGGAAACAACCTAAATGTCCATCAGTGGATGAATGGATAAAGAAGATGGGGTGCATATATAAAATGGAGTACTTTTCATCTATAAAAAGTGAGATCTTGGCATCTGCTGCAACATGGATGATTGTAGAAGACATTATATTAAGTGAAATAAGCCAAACACAGAAAAACAAAGATTGTATGTTCTCATTCATATATGTGAACCAAAAAAGTGGATCTCAGGGAGTTAAGAGAGTGGATTTTTGGTGGTTACCAGAGGCTGGGAAGGGGTGGGAGAAGGGGGATGAAGAGAAGTTGGTTAATGGGTACCAAAATACAGTTAGATAGAAGAAATAAATTCTAGTATTCAGTACAGTGGAGATATTAAACAATTTACTGTATATTTCAAAGTAGATAGAATTGGAATGTTTCCAACACAAAGAAAAGATACTCATGTTTGAGGTGATAGAGATCCCAGTTACCCTGATTTGATCATTACATTGTACACATGTATCAAAATCTCACATGGACCCCTAAAACATGTACAACTATCATTTATCAGTTTTTAAAAACTTAAAAAGTATTAGAAGGTTCATACTCTTTATCTTCTCTACCAGGTTGCTCCGTGTTTAGAAACAGCGCCAGTTCCTGCTGGCCAAGAAAACCCCGCCCTGTCACGTGCTGTGAGCCCGCCCTGCACACACAGGGCGAGTGCTGGCCGTGTACCAGTGTCGTCTCCTGCACCTGAAACTGGGCCGTCGCAGAGGTTGCTGCCCAAAGCCAGGTAAAGAGCCCCTGGAGGCCACATCAGGGCTGGTGCTCTGGGGCGATGTTCTCAGAGGCGTCCCCGCCCCTCCCACCAAGCATGGGCAGGAAAGGCACGGTCATTGTCTGGCCTGCCACCCCCTCCGCACTCTGCCCTGGGAGGTTTGAATGGGTGTGGGTGAGGGATGTGCCAGAGAGGAGGCACGTGGGGACAGGGTGCAGCACTGTCACCTCTGCAGTGAGAAAGTCAGCGCGTGGCTGTTCTCCACAGACCCATGTCCCTGAGCACCATTGCAATCCTGAATTCTGTCAAGAAAGCTGTGGAGTCAAAGAGCAGGCATCGGAGTCGGAGCTTAGGAGTGCTGCCTTTCACTGTAAATTCTGGAAGCCCAGAGAAAACGTGCAATCAGGGTAAGCCAGACGTAGTAGAGCATTTACAGATCAAGACACAGAACACGACTACTTCTCATTCCTTTCAAAACGGTTCGTTTTCTTATCTTTAAAACAAGTAACATTAATTGGGCTTTTAGGATCATGGGTAATAAAACAATGCATATTTATTCTAGGAGATTTGGAAAATAGAGTGAAAGATGAAACTTATCCATAGCAGTGAGGCATTCCTTCCTCCAGCCATTCTGTTCCTCTTACACACACGTGTTTTGTTTCTGGAATTGTGATCTGTGTGGGCATTGTTTTATGACCTGTTTCCCTGCATACTTAAGTCAGATGTAGCTTCCATGAACTTTTCTTTCAAACCTTTGCTTCCAGTGGCTTTATAGCATTGTGTCTGTGGAAATAACTTATTTATTACTATCCTGTTCTTTGAAATGTTGACTTTCAATTTTTTCATGTAAATACTGGCACAGTGAACATCCTTGTACATATAGCCTTGTATGTATGTAATCCTTGGGATTAATTCCCAGCAGTCAAAGGCCATGGATGTTTTAAAACGTTGGATAGTGTCAAACTGTCCTCTCTCACTCGTGCCAAGTTAGACTCTTTTATTTTTTTGAATCCTAATGAGAATGGACATTTCTCATGTTTATCATTTATTTGTATTTCTTCCTGAATTGCCTCTTTATAAGAAAATTTTAAACACTAGCAATGTTAACTTGACGTCTTGCAGGTATGTTTTCTCATTTGGTGGTTTTGGTCTTCATTATTGTTTGGGGGTATTTCTAGACAGCTACAACTTTTCTGTTCTATCCTAGTGTCTTCATACAGTTTGGAGCAAGAGTCAAACGGCACGATTGAGCATGTGACCAAGCGGGCCATCAGCACCCCCGAGAGTGAGTAACCGATGGGAACACGCGGGCTTCTCCTCAGTCTTTCCTGCGGTCGCCACGCGTTTGCTAGAGTTGTGGTAAAACTCCTTTCGGTGCAGGGTAGTCCTGATGGTCAAAGCCGTGAGTGCATTGCTGAGGCGGAATGTTTCACAGGGACCACGGCAGCTTGATCCATGAGCACCGACCGTGTTGTTCACTGTTGTTACAGTCAGTCGGTCAAACACCACAGCGGCCTGCGGGCCTCCGTGGGGCAGACAGTGCCGTTGGGGCAGAGGTAGGCCGGGTGACCGGCCCTCAGTGTCTCCGGGCACACTGGGCGCTGCTGGGTGAGCCTGCTTCCGGGGCGGGCAGACGTCAACACCAGCAGGTACCACGTATGTTCTGCAACTGCCAAGACCAGAGACCTGAGGATCTGCTTGGAGCCTGTGTCTCATTCCCCTCCATGTTTTTTCCTGCTGTCTGTTCTTTTCCTTTTATTTCAAAACAGGTGAGTTAGGAGAGTCAAGTATTCTTTTCCTGTTATCTTGTTTGATAGCTTCATATTGTCTCAAACCTCATAAAAACCATTATTTTGAGAAAACTTACAGGAAGAAATGCTTCCTGTCCCAGGTCTGTGGAGTGGTGGCCAGGCCCTGCCTGCCGTGTCCTGCGTGCCCCTCGCTCTGCGCCCGCCTGTGCACGGTGCCCTTGGCAAGCTGCATCCAGCCCCACTCGTCTTGGCCGTTCCACTCCTCACTGTTTCCACAGGGCCCACCACAGTGCCTGAAACCTGGGAGGTGTCAGAGGTCTCCTGCAGGAGATTTCTGGGAGGGCATAGCTGGGTGCTGAGCCCAGGCCTTCTGATCCCACCTCTCGTGCCCCTTCTCCAGCCTGTCTCCTGTTCCTGACTGCAGCAGGGGAGATGAGAGTGTGCTAAGGTGCCCTTCCTGGTAACGGAGCAGCAAGGTGTCATGCCGTGCGTTTAGTCGCCACTGCAGTCAGCTCACATGTATGGAGCACCTGCTGTATTCTGGCTACTTGCTTATTTGGTTCTGTCACACTGATGCTGTGATCTCTAGTTAACAGGTTAGAGATAATTTTCATCCAAGTCCCCCTTTGAAGGGAATTTATCCCACCCCCACCCTCAGACGACAACTGGATCATGACGGCGTTTGTCATTAAAGGCAGTGGGTCATTTGGGATCCTGCGTTGTGGACAGGTGCGATGTTCTGTGTGTAGAGCTGGCTGCGTGTTCGATGTTCCTGGCTCAGGAGCGCCAAGAGCTTCTATTTTGGCAGTGAGGCGCCATATGCTGAAGCAACGGGGAGAATGCATCTCATTTGAGTTGTGCTCATCCTGTGAGTCCCTGATGTCAGCGTTGGGTTGGTTTCCTAGCAGCCCATGTTCCTCCACAGTGCAGCCTGGCGTGGAGTGTGCATGCTGCCGTCATTTGCATGTGTGGAGCCAGGCTTCGTGCTGGAAATCGGGCGCCCCGGTGTCATTGAGTTGGTAGAGTACTTGTTCTTGCTCCAGGCTCTTGGACATAATATTCCTGTTGATGCAGTCTCTGGCCATCTCTCTTTATACTGAACCAGGAAGAGGTGCTTGGAGGTCTCCTATTAGCTCTCCTTCCTGGGAGCATTGTTAGATAGCTTAAAAGCACTCAGTCCTGTTTTCTCTGTGGTTTATACGTCCATATTCTTTTGGCAACTTTTAGTTCAGAAGGGGGTGACTTTCAGGAAATGTCTCAACTCTTCAAAGCTGGTAGGAAAGACGCCACCCAGTTCGGCACTGTAGCGCACCAGTTCAAAGTGGTTTTGCTAAATGGAAATGAAAATTACTCATTTTTCAGAGCTAGGATTTTAACTGAAAATCTGGGGGGGTTTTAGCAAGTCCCTCTTACTTTATCATTCGGGTGGCACAGACACTGCTGCCTTTGATTCTATGCACAGTGCATGGGGGATGTCAGAGCCCCCCCACCCGTGCTTCTGTAAAGATGGGAGACTAATTTCCTGGAGCACATATGGGCTTCCAAACAGGAAGAGCAGCGTGTGTGTGAGGAAGAGAATTTCAGGTGACAGTACAAGGAGAGACTTTCACAGAAACAGAATAAGCAGATCTAGCAGTGATGAGGATAGAATTCTCTACCATTGTCTGTTAATGACACTCAAGTAGCCATCAGGTACACTGCAGTGCGCTGATGAGCTTTAAAATGTAAATGGGAAGACGGTCTGTACTGAAGACACCATGTGGAGAACGGGGAGAGCTCTGAAGCTGCCTCCTTGCGTGTGCAGAAAGGCAGCAGGTTCAGTGGCATCAGCAAGCAGCCGCCCAGCCCGTGCTGTTCCTGGGAGTGTGCTGGTGGCAGCTTATGCACCAAGTACAGCACCACCCGGGCCCCCAAGACCGTGGCGTGTGTAGACGATGGGGCGGAGGGGCAGAGGAGCATGATGTGCAGACAGGGCCTGCTGAGGACGGGATGCAGGAGGGTGGACGTGTGTGTGGGCACATGCACCTCAGCATAACAGCTAAGTCTGTAAAGGCAGCTTGGGACCAGCTGAGACTGAGAGTGCACTTTAGGCTCTCCTAGGAACACAGCCATCGAGGTGTCTTAAAGCAGGGCAGTAAATTTACCAGCTTCTTGATTAAACATAACTCCAGTGACGCAGGGAGGATACTGCTGATAAATGACAGTGGCCGCTAACATCTCTTGAGCACGCCCTTGCAGCCAGCGCCATGCTAAGCACTCTGTGTAGACAACCTCATGTCGTCCTGGGCACCATGCTAAGCACTCGGTGTAGATAACCTCATGTCGTCCTGGCAGCCCCCCAGTGAGGTAGCTGTTTTTATACCCACGTAAGAGATGCAGAAACCTGAGGGTCTCAGAGCAGCTCACACAGCTGGTAAGACACCGAGCCAGAATTCACACCCAAGCTGCGGTGGAGTCTGCTCCTGAACGGTGTTCACCTGTTCCTGAGGGCAAACTGGAGGGGGGTAGGTGCCATGAAAAATCAAGGGCGAGGGGTGAGGTGGACTGAGCTGCTTCCAGTGCAGCACGACAGGACAGGATGAAGTGGTGACTGGAGGTAGAAGGGACAGGACTTGGCTGCTGATTCCATGTGGAGGAGCTGCTCACGGTGCCACATTTCCAGCTTGCACGGTCCATTCACTGGCTGGAAACTAACAGGCGCGCGTGGAGGTGCAGAGGCAAGGAGTTCATTGTCCTCGGGGAATCTGGGTGAGCCACAGTAGGAAGTGTAGTGAGTGGGACAGCACGGTCACTGGGACAGGGGTGATCATGGAAGATGGGGTGGGAGGGAAGCCAGAGGCGTGAACAGTGAGGCCCAGGGGCCAGCTGAGTGCCTAAGGAGGGCTGCGGTCAGAGGGACGGAAAGGAGCGTCCCCAGGAGGGGCCCTCATCCCTGCCAGGACCCGGGACAGGGTCCAGTGGAGGTCTGAGGGCCGCCACTGGGACACTGATGTGGACACCGTGCCTACGTCACACAGACAACTGGAGCCGCCGCCTCTGCCTTCACTCACAGTGGTGTCTCCCCTTTATGCAGAGAGCATCAATGATGTCACGTTTGGAGCAGGGGTCAGTTACATCGGGACACCACGGACTCCTTCATCAGCCAAAGGCAAGTTCTTGGTTTCCTTCTGGGCTGATATATGTGCTGCCTTTGAGGTTCTGGGAAAACTGAATTTGTTTGTTTAAATCCCTTTTAGAGAAAATTGAAGCCAGGAGTCAAGGAAATGACATCTTATGTTTATCATTGCCTGACAAACCGTAAGTTTAGCAGTGTTCCTTTTGAGGTGGGTGTTTGTTTCAGGGTTTTTCTGAGTTCCAGAATGACTGCGTATGTCCTTTCCCTAGGCCCCCACAGCCTCAGCAGTGGAATGTGAGGTCTCCAGCCAGGAATAAAGACACTCCAGCCTGCAGCAGGAGGTCCCTGCGAAAGACCCCCCTGAAAACAGCCAACTAAACAGCGCATCCCCACCAGTGTCCGGGCAGGCAAGAGCCCCTCAGGAAGCCGTCTCGTGTCCTCTGTGTGGACAGGCAGCTGGATCACTTCCCGCAGTCCTTGGGCAGCGCTTTGCTGTGGAACACGAGAGCTCCTCCTCAGGGGCCTGGCACTCACCTGCGTTTAGCCGGCCAGCCCTTTCTATGCTGTATGATGTATATGGTTAAACACTGTAAAATAGAGATGTGCCAAATTTAGATTTTCTTACCCTAAGCCTAATCTATTTAATATTATAACTTTATTCCATTTGAAAGTGTCAAGCCCATGCAGATAAGCTATAATCTGGTCTTTAAGGAACACAACTTTAAAACTTCAGCTTTCTTTTATATAAATCAAGCCTCTGTTAACTTGAATTCCTTATAGTACATATTTTCCCATCTGAAATGACAAAATATTGATTGTAATATTTTTTCTATTATTTATAATTGCAAATTTTTAAAATATACAGCTTTCTAAAAGTAATAAAGGTTTAGGATAAATACAGCCTTCCAGTAAATAGAATGTTTGTTTTTAGAACAGAGCTCTTACTGGTAATCATTTTAATTTTACATAAAGCATGTTAGAGGAATGAAACCAAATCTTCCCTATTAGAAAAAAAAAGATTGTCTTGAGGGGCAGTTCATCTGTGCCCATGCAGAGGCCATGTGCTTTCTATAACAGACATAAAGAGCATCGCTGCTTGTGAAAAAATAGCTTTGCGGCCTTCCCCAGAGCAGCACTGATGGCGATTTGTGCAGCCCTCTGCTAAGGGCTGTTCCCATGATGGGGGGACGGCTTGAGTCTCTTCTGTTCACTCTGTTGGGTAAACTTAACGATATTTTTGTTCAAGAATATCCAAAAAGAAATGCAGTTGGCTTGTTTTTTAATCCCAGTATTACAAAAGCGAAAGTACAAAGTGATTATGTGCGTTGGTTGGTTTGGGGGATGGATGGGATGCCACTGAGCTCTGCCCCTGCTATCCTAAGTGGGAACTGCAGCGCAGGTGGACTCGGTGGAGAAGAGGCGCAGCACTGCTCTGGAGCACACAGGCTGACCTGCCCAGGCACTGACTCCCCTGGTGGATGGCTGACAGCATTTTTAGTGCGCGCGCCTAACCACTGAAATGCTAGGAAGAAGAGACAAACACGAGAGCAAACAAGAAAGAATGAAGCAATGTTTGGGTTTTTTTGAAGCTTTTATAAATGAGGTTAAACCAATACCAAATTACAGGTGTGTTAGTACAAGTCTGTAATATCTATGTACAGCAACATCCATCCCAAGGCAGAATCAGCCTCGTATCGGCCTCGAGTCTTGAGTCACATTCGTATCTTAAAATACACGAGTGTTCCTTTTCTGTCTAGTCTCAGTTATAGGCAACTACTTCCCAGACTCCACTTTCACTGCTCTCTACTTTGTCCGACCTGGTTCCCATGGCACTAGTGTGGAAAGTTTTAGGGTGTAAGAAGAGGGGGCAATAAGGCTACCCTATCACTATGACAACCAAGAAAGAGGCTGGAGCGTCATTCCCCAACGCTGAGGGTGGGGAACCATCCCTCTCTACCACGGTGGCAATGATGGAGGGAACTTGCATGCCCAGTATCCAGGATGCCATGCAGAAGACACCAGGGAGCACTGAGCCACTCTTGGAGCATTTCCTGCCTCTGCCAGGCGGCCTGCAGCTAAGTGTTTCACGTAACTGAAAAAAGTCAACACCGTCTCATGTACGCAATTCAACAAAAGCTGTCAAAGTATAAAAAACTCAAGACACTGGAAGCTGAAAGACAAGGTGACTAGTGAGAGCCACTCTTCAGGCACACAGTGGAGTGCTCCTCCTGAGCAGCTCCTTGCTTTAGAGCACTTCAGTCCTGGATCCAGCACGGCAGGGCGTATGAGGCTGAGAACACAGGGTTCTGAGTGATGTTTCTAATGTCCCCCCACAAATGGGAGCAGTGTCTCCGGCAGATGAAAAATTTAAAGTCAAAAATTAGAAAACTGCTTTTGATTCAGGCATTTCGCTTTCCTCCCCACCAGGCCTTTCACCTGGCTGCTCCACCTGACATTCTTCAAAAGGCTGGACTGGCTGTGGCTGCCACTCCATAATGGTTGTTTTGAAATGAGACAGAGCCTGTGGCGTCTGGGTGCTTTCTCTGTGGCAAAGAGGAACAGTGGGATCCACGTTCTTTTAAAAATATTATTGTACTTGACAGACTTGATTTCACAATTGCCTTTGGCCTTAGACAGTCTTAACAAATAATTAAACAAACTTAAAAAAAAAAATAGCAGTGGGGGCTCTGTTTCGTGAGCCATCCATAACCAAAAAGGTCTGTTACGGGAGCCCAAAGCTGGGACACAACGTGGAAGACACCAGTGTCCCTGGAGTGCCCACCTTAGAGCGGTGCTGGGTGAAGCAAGGGCCATGTGAGTCAAGCTCACTGGGGCACAGCCACTGCCAGGGCCCAACGATGGCGGGGCCTCCTGGCAGATAGCGAGGCAACACTGAGCTAGAGCGGGGGCGCCTGGGGCAACCCCAGGAGCTGACTGGCGTCTGTCTGTACATCTGAGGACTTCTGGGTGGCCTCTGGGTACAGACTGTCCTAGTCATCTCAGGAAGAGGCAGTTCAAAGCTAACCTGAGAGGTTTCTTTTGAAGAGATGCAAACTGATTTTAACATCGCTCAGCTGGAATTTTTAAAGGTTTCCTAAGCAACTACAGTCTGACGTGCAGACCGCAAAAGTTCCCTTGTGAAAAAGGCTAAAACTTGTGCAAGAAAAGGAACGTCGCAGTAAGCTTCCATGAGAGGATTCCTTGGGTAAAATACTCTTAATTATTGATATTTTCCAATTTAACACTAGTAGCTTGGAACTTCTACCTTAAGCTGAACTTTTTTAAAAAAAATAGGTTATTTAACATTGTATGACAATATATTTACAGTTTAAATAGAAATTTTCTTTTCAATAATCAAAATACATCCTTAGCAAAAATTTAGATGCAAAATTTTATAAAATAAGACCCATAGAAAAGCATATTTCAGTACCATTTCCGACTGAGCCTAAGATGAAGGTTTTCTGTAAATCCTGACGCCCTGTTGGACAAGCAGGGTTCCTCAGGCAAGATCTCTCTGCCAGCAACCAATCTGCCTCCCTGACTTCGGTGGTTCCTACAAGATGCTGATCCGAAAGGCTTCTCCACAGTGGACACTGCGACACCCATCAGCAGAGCCTTTGAGAAGAGGCTGCTGCATACAAAGCCTGTTCTGGGTGCCGGCCGGGACGCACTGCTGGCGCTGCACAGCCCCCTCGCCGCCTCACAGGGTGCTGTCCTGGCTGCTGAACGACCGGTGGTAAACACGCTGGCTTCACAGGGCCCAGCACGGGGGCACCGACGTGAGCAAGCTCTTTATGATCACCCTAATACTCGTGTGGGAATCAGGCCAGAAACAGATTGGGAACCCAACTCGGTGAACGCACCCAGTTTCCCTTCCTTGTGGTCATATTTACTGGGTCCATCTTGAGGAAAATTCTTTTATTCATGTGGCTTGTTAGAGTAAGAAGAGTAGTGGTCAACTTTGGCCAAAACAAAAAGCTTCTGAATGAGTGTCTAGCTCTGTCCAAGTGCATCAGCTCTCGCTGCCTCGACAGGAGTTTCTAGTAGAGGTATGTGCATGTGCGCTCTGTGCGCTCTCAGCCACGCTGCGGGTCTCAGATCACAAACGATGACTTGTGTCTGAAGTCGCCCTGCAAAGCCAACACACAGTTAAAGCCATCAAGGGGCCTGGTGGCAAGAAGGGAAAAACACTGAGTAAGTCTAACATGGGCTAAATACAAATCAAATAATCATTCTTAAAAGTGCCATCACTAGCGCCTGCAAAGCACAAATCCCATTAGTATGTGTGTATGTGACTGTGAAGGGGCCGAGGAGCTCAGGAGCTGCACAATCACTCAGGAATCTTCCTAGGAGACCTGTGTGGTTTCCAAGGAGGAATGTTGTTTTCCCTGCTGGGTACACCTAGATTTCCAGGTTTACTAAATGATTACCTCCTCGTCAGTGCGGATGTAGTTGACTCCATCTGGTTTCCCTGGGTTCTTGTAACTGTGAGGAGAAGAGAGCAGTTTAGCAACAGGGTTGTTATATTATCGCCAGCTTGAACTTCCCTTTTTTCACATAAGGCAGGCTCACCTTTCTCCATCCTGTTTATTGTTGATGAAGTAGCCACGTCTGTATGCACAGCAGATGCCCAACGTGATCAGGGCCAGTACAGCAAGGACAACCAGAACCCCCCCAATAATTCCGCCAATGTTCAGGTCATCTGAAGAAAGGGAGGTTTGGGGAAAGCCATGATACACACTATCGGTTCTTTAAAAAGGCCCTGACCCTGCTGTGCCTCCTTCCTTCACCCCAAACCCACTTGCCCCCTGCCCCCTCAGGCCTACCCCAGCTAGAAGAGAGAACTTAATCTTTCTAGCCTAGAACATATAGGACACCATAACTCCTAACTTCACATGTGAAAAGTACTGAGACTTCTACAGCTGAAATGCAGTTACACGGAAAACTGTACTCAAGTGGGCTTGACACTGTAGGCTTAAAAATCCTCTGGCTGAATGCCTGAGATTACTTATGGGGGAGATGGTTATGAGGACAAGATTAGGAGCCAGGATCCCAAGGAAGAAAAGAATCCCTAATTTCCAGGGCCTCTCTGTTGTGGACTGCTCTGGGGAAGAAAGTTAGTTTCAAGTCTTACTTAAAAGTAAGAATCCTAGATAAGAACTAGAGCTCTGCCTCTGCTGGCTGCCTGACCTCCGATCTATACGCCCTCTGAGAGGAGACCCCTGGAACCCTTTCTCATGTCTGTACACTCAGCAAAGGCACTGGGTCACCTTCACATGGGGCTCTGGCAGTCGTTTCCTTCAAGCAAGCAACACATGGAAAACTGCAGGGAATTTATCAACAAGAGCCAAGTAACTTGGAAGTTTTAAAAAATCTTTATCCTAGTGTATTGGTTCTCAAATATGAATGTACACTTAAAAATCAATTTGCAGGCTGGGCGCAGTGGCTCACGCCTGTAATCCCAGCACTTTGGGAGGCCGAGGCGGGCGGATCACGAGGTCAGGAGATTGAGACCATCCTGGCTAACATGGTGAAACCCCGTCTCTACTAAAAATACAAAAAACTAGCCGGGCGAGGTGGCGGGCGCCTGTAGTCCCAGCTACTCGGGAGGCTGAGGCAGGAGAATGGTGTGAACCCGGGAGGTAGAGCATGCAGTGAGCCAAGATTGTGATTTTTTTTTTTTTTTTTTTTTTTTGAGACGGAGTCTCGCTCCGTCGCCCAGGCTGGTGTGCAGTAGTGCAATCTCAGCTCACTGCAACCCCTGCCTCCTGGATTCAAGGGATTCTCCTGCCTCAGCCTCCCAAGTTACTGGGATTACAGGCACCTGCCACCACACCAGGCTAATTTTTGTATTTTTAGTAGAGACAGAGTTTTGCCATGTTGGCTAGGCTGGTTTCGAACTCCTGACCTCAGGTGATCCACCTGCCTCAGCCTACCAAAGTGCTAGGATTATAAGTGTGAGCCACTGCGCCTGGCCATGCAATTTTGATATTAAAATGTCAATTCCCAAGTTTCATCAATAAAAAGTCAATAGGCTAAAATAGGTCTGGGGCAAAACTGTAGGAGGAAACAACCCTAACGCCGAGTTTCTCAAATGTGACAAATGAGAAGAATCATTCGGAATGCTTGTCCCACACACAGATTCATTCGGAATGCTTGTCCTACACACAGATTTATTCGGAATGCTTGTCCCACACACAGATTTATTCGGAATGCTTGTCCCACACACAGATTTCCAGCATATGTCTGAGGTGGGCTCGAATCTGTATGTGAAACAGTGGCCTCAGATGGTTATCACCAGGCAGTGTTGGAAAATGCTGCTCTGAGGGTAGCTCCAAATAGGGAGGAGGAAGAGATTTAAAAAACGCTCCTGGCTAGGCACAGTGGCTCGTGCCTGTTAATCCCAGCACTTGGGGAGGCTGAGGTGGGAGGACTGCTTGAGGCCAAGAGTTTGAGACCAGCCTGGGCAACAGTGAGACCCTATATTTACAAAAAACAAAATTAGCTGAGCTTGGTGGTGTGTGTCTGTTGTCCCAGCTACTCAGGAGACAGAGATGGGAGGATGGCTTGAAATCTGGGTTTGAGGATGCAGTGACCTGTGATTACACCACTGCACTCCAGCCTGGGCAACAAAGCAAGACCCTGTCTCTCTCTCTTTTTTAGGGGGGACGGAGTCTCACTCTGTTGCCCAGGCTGGAGTGGTTTTGTTGCTGCTGCTGTTGTTTTAAGGGAAAAAAAAAAAAAAAAAAAAGCTTCCCAAGTGATTTGGACACATCCTACCTGCCCCCATCCTCCTCTCAATACCCCTCCTTTAGGGGAACCAGAGCCCTGAGATGATATTACTCTAAGGGCTAAAGCTTTGTCTGCAGGTAAAATTACTAGGGCTAAAACTCTGTCAGTTTTTTACAAAATGGTTGTAACTGGATAAATTTCTGGAGACCTGACACCACCTTACATTTTAATAATTCTATCAATTACCAAAGAATGGAGTTTACTAAACTCGCAGTGAAAGTTACAAGGCTGGCCACGTTCCCAATACCAGCAGATCCCAGAAGGTTTTGTTTTGAGGACCTGCTTATCTGGACTCGGTTTTCTCAACCTTCCCTTCACTGTCCAGTGGGTGCTGGTGGATCTAGTCGGCTCCAGAAGAAAGCTAACCCATGGCAGAAGAGTTCTCTAAGCTGATGGTATAACATTAAATTAAAATGTTCTATTCACTTCCCAGTCTTGTGATGAAACCTTTTCAAAAAAGAAACTCACAGACTTCCATCTCCTGCTCCTCACACCTGGCTGAGCCTGCGTCATTGGAAGCAATGCAGTAGTACTGCCCAGAGTCGTCCTTGTGAACAGCAGTGAACACCTGTTTCAGGGAATGACAAGTAAATAACTGGACCAGTCACGGGGCCGACTTCTGAGAGCACATCCAGCTGGGTGCAGAACTAGGTCGACACCTGCTCGCTTGCTTTCGGCTTCCCCGTGGCTTCCCCAGCACTGCATGTTCCTCCCTGACCCACTCCTGGACACCTGCCTGAGAGCTCCCCAACAACCAATCCCCTTGGGACTGGAGGCACCAAAGCCCGGCAACGTCCAAAATGTGAGGTGGAGCCTTGCTTTTCTTCTGGTAAAGGGGCTCTTCAATGATGACTGCTCCTTGGGCAACA